ACTGAAGTGTAACCGGTTAAGAAGTCAGCCTGTGGCGCCTCCTGACCCCACCGGCGCCACCACTGTGACCATGGCCCCCACCCCTCCTGCCATCTCCACCACAGCCATGGACATGTCCGGCTCCAACAACACAGAGATCAACAAAAATGACATGTTTGAGGAAATCAAGAGCAAATTCCTCAACGAAATCGACAAAATCCCACGTAAGCAGAACCACCATGTTGTTAGAACACGGCACGTGTCACTGACACTGACGCTGCTCTCCTGTCACCGACAGTGCCTCCATGGGCTCTGATTGCCATCGCGGTGGTGGCTGCGCTGCTCATCCTCACCTGCTGCTTCTGCATCATCAAAAAATGCTGCTGCAAGAAGAAAAAGAACAAGAAAGGGAAGAAAGGCAAGGATGGTTTCAACATGAAGAACATGCAGGGCGGCGAGGTATGATGCCTTGTGCTGAGAGGTCTGAGGAAGCAGTTGTTTTGATGCTTTGCCTCAGTGCTACACGTACCTTCAGTGATCGAATCATGTCTTTGTAAAGATTTAAAAACAGCAACATTTTTTTCCTCACCACGTTTGATCTTCCACCAGCAGCTCTTTTAGGCCAGACTGTAGAGGACACAAGGAGAGCGCTCTTCCCCTCACTCTTATTCGATGTTGTGCTGTGGTCTGGTTTAATCTGTGACGTTATTCTATAGTGGCCGGGGATGAGAAATGACGTCCATTTGAAAAGATGTGGACAACAGTGTCACAGACACTGTGGGCTGAAACATCTGCTGCAAAACGTCAGGTGATGATGAAGGAAAAATAAAACACTAATGCACCGACAGTTTGAAAGTTTTCAACCAAAATAGATTTCAAATCAAATAAATGCATTTCAAACATCTGGCCTTCCCATAGATTTTCCCACTTCGGCCGTTAATTACAGAAGTTTCTTATGAACGATGTGGACGAGGACGTCATTTTTCATCCCACCTGTGGTGGTGCTGGTGTTGACTGCGTCTTTTCTTGTCGTGTGTTTGGTGTTTTGTGAGTTGAACATCTTCCTTTCTCTGCTCTCCTCCTTTCTTTTTTTACGCTTTGTGTCTGTCCGTCTGTGCCTCGTGTTTCTTGACTGTGGTGGACTTCCGCTCTACGGTAGGTGGACAGTTCCCGCTGATGCTCTCTGGCCCTGCGGGGTGGAGGGGGGTTTCATGGAATGAAAGTCGTAGCTTCCTTTGCTTTTATTTTTACATTCCCCAAATTTGATTTATATATTTATTTTATTTTATTTTTACAGCTTGAGAATGTAACAATGGAAAGCTATGATATGCTCCATAAACCCCAAAGAGGAGAGTCTAACCATCTAACACATTGTTCCTGGGACAATGTAAACTGTATTGGAAATATTGGACACAGAGATGCAAGACACCGTTAACACGATTAATCTGTGCATGTGATGAAAGGGCATGGTTGGTTGTTTGGGAGAAATAATGGTGGTGATGGTGATTTAAAAAAAAATGCATGAGAATCAATCACTTATGAATTTGTCCTTCTGGCTGTAAAACCCAAGGAGGTGAAAATGTGGAGACACCGGACGCAAATGCAACACAAACAAAGCTGAGGTCACCTTAACAATAAGGCTTTTATTTACCTCCCCACTCAGACATTATTCAAATAACTGGCTGTGCCCTTTAATCCTGAAGCATTTTTTGTGATGACGGCAAACAGAGGAGACAGGCATTTATGTGATGGGGCGTAAATTCAGAGGGTAAACACAACACGTAGGTTAAAGACAACTCACTTCCAACCAGTCAAATGATTCACAAGCGCTGACACAATCCAATGAATGGTTGAATGTAACGTCTTGGTCCTTTTTTTCCCCTAATATGCACTTCCTGTTGCGATGTAGTTCCAATCTTCTCGCATATTTTCGTGACATCTGACCCCCCTGATATCAGGAGAACTTTGCTTACGTCTGACTGCATCGATACAACACTTAGCAGAGTTAGCATGCATTGCCTTAACTGACTCTGGCTGTCACTGTACTGCACCAGCATGTGGAAAGAAATGCCCGATGATCCAGAACACTGACAAACAGGTGTGGCAAATAAATGAACCTCCAACGTTTGAGGATGTATTTGTGTGCTGCCCAGTAGAGATTTATGCCCCATTAAATGATCAAACCTGCTCATCACGACAGGTAAGAAGGAACCAAAAAAAAAAGCCTCTGGAGTTCCAGTGTCTGTGGCATGCTGGCTGTGGTTGGGAGCCCTGTGTCAGAACTCATTATACCCTGAACTCTAACACAAGGTCTTGTTTCTTACCTTCAAACCACAGAAACATCAGGATGATGACGATGATGAGGGAGAGACTGGACTGACAGAGGAGGAGAAAGAGGAAGAGGAGAAAGAACAAGAGAAACTGGGGAAGCTGCAGTACTCCATCGATTATGACTTTGAGAATACAAAGGTCTGTGGTGACTATAGTACTTTACTTGATTGTGCTGTGGTGACCCCTGTTGACTAGATACTAGTGTACACAATGACCCCATGTGGTCACTTGTGGTCAAACATGCATGGCAGGTGGGCTCTAGGATCTCAGGGCATAAGTACCAGACCACTGTGTGGGGCGACTAAAAGCTGCAGCTAGCAGCACAAGACTAGGCTGTTGAGAAAATGACTTGATGGAGTCCGTGGAGGACACAGGACCAAGGTTCAGTCCAGGATCACAAAACGTCCTCTAATTTAGCAAAGAAAACAAAAATACTTCCAACTTCTCTTTGGAAGATGCTCGAGAGGATGTAGGTTCTTGTTAGCCTTTGTGCAAAATCCATTTACAAAATTCCTCGTGGTATGCGTATAACATGCTGTCCTCTTCTTACCCACCCAGCTGACCGTCGGTATCCTCCAAGCTGCTGACCTCATGTCCATGGACTCTGGAGGAACATCTGACCCTTATGTCCGAGTCCTGCTCTTCCCTGACAAGAAGAAGAAGTTTGACACCAAAGTACACAAGAAGACGCTGAACCCTGTCTTCAACGAGACCTTTGTCTTCAAGGTGAGTTTCACGCACACACACACACACACACATGCAGCCCTACAAACTGAGGCAACAAACACACATGTGGCGTAGTGAGGGATCTGCTTAACCCGTGGCTGTAAAACTTTCACACGGTGTCAGTTTAATATTAGCTTGTCAGCGCTATTTGTGTGTACGTGTGTGTACGTGTATGTAATACCCCCGAGCCAGAGCAGACCACATGACGCTCTCTCCTCTTCTGGCTAATGAGGTCCACAGAGACCTTACCACACACTCTGGGCCAAACTGGGAGTGAAGTCCATCTGTGGGTGTAAAGACAAATTTGAAGAAGCAGAAATTAAAAATGAGAGGGCGAGAGAGACAGAAGGAGAGAGGGTTGGAAAGAGAGAGAGAGAGAGAGAGAGAGAGAGATACAGAAATGCTCATAGGTAAAGCCTTCAGGGATATTTAAGATTCTTTCCCTGTCTTCCAGAGTCAGCTGCATGTCTACACACCGTATATACAGTAATCCGCCCATCCACTTATCTTTGCTCTGATTCACAGGCGAGATACGTGTTGTCATTCACACACACTGCAGGGAAGAGTTTTCATTTTACCGAAGCTCCTTGAGATTCAATTACCAGCCTTATTCCCAGCATGTCTTTGAAAGTGTGATTTATAGACAATTCAAAGAAATTGATCACATATAATAAACCTAAACAGGCTGATGAAGTAACAGTATTTTATACGATTTAAAAAAGTGTATTTTCCCAAGGGTTTTTTTATGTTTTTCAGGATGTAAACCTGTGTTTGTTCGCCAGGTGCCCTATGAAGAACTTGGAGGGAAGACCTTGGTGATGTCCGTTTATGATTATGACCGATTTTCCAAACATGACGTCATCGGTGAGGTGAAGCTGCCGATGAACACCATCGACCTCGGACGTCCCATTGAGGAGTGGAGGGATCTGGAGAGCGCTGATCAAGAGGAGGTGAGGCGACCACCGTGGTCCAAGTAACTGAAAAAGTTTGGTTGAACTGCAGAGAATTTTATTTTCGAATTCATACTAGGTTTAACTGACCATCAAAGATACATAAAAACTTGATGTGTGATACTTTTCAGTTCTGACTTTTCTCTCTGATTTCTACTCAGCCTGAGAAACTGGGCGACATCTGCATCTCCCTCCGCTACGTCCCCACTGCTGGAAAACTCACTGTCTGCATCCTGGAAGCCAAGAACCTGAAGAAGATGGACGCCTGTGGATTATCTGGTAGACAAATCTCATCATTACTGAATGTTTGTATTCGCAAATGTATGGCTGTGCATTTGAAGAATTTAAATGAGGAGTTCACATGCTGTCAAACTCAACTATCAATAAAAACACTTCTGCTTGTAAAAAAACAAAAAATCTATAGCTAATTCCATGAGAATTCGTAAAATTCCAGAGTTGTTGAAAAACCTTTCTAATCTAAAAAGCAAAATAAAAAAAAGTAGCAAAGTTACAAGAAAAGAAACCATTGGTTTCAACAAGGTTAAAAAAACTGTTGATGTTTTTTTCAGATCCCTACGTAAAAATCCAGCTGCTGCAAGGAGGAAAGCGTCTGAAGAAGAAGAAGACGACAGTGAAGAAGAACACCTTAAATCCATATTACAACGAATCCTTCAGCTTTGAGATCCCACTAGAACAGATGCAGGTGCTGTACAAAAATGGGGAAACTTTCATATCTCTGATTGGATCTCTGCACAGCCAGTGTGGAACAGTAATAAGATTTCATCCCATAATATCCCTACCAATGGCCTGAAACATTAGAGATCAGAGGTATCCATTTTTTTTCTGGGCCATTGAGCATTTACCACAAATGATTATCCATCCATCTTTGTCCACTTATCCATTACCAGGTCGCGGGGACAGCAGTCTCCACGACCGCCACCCAAATCACACTGCACCGTACCAACCCCTCGTGAACCTTCCTGTGGGTGGTGAGTCCACTGGAAGGTACCAACTGCCCTAACCGGGACTCGATCTTGCCCAGGAGGTGAACGCTGGGGTTCCACATCAATGGCAGAGACATTGCCACTCTATAAATTATATTGTATTATATTAAATTGTCATTGATATTGAACACTATTCAGGTATTTTTGATCAATAAAGTACCTGAGGTACCTCTTTGTACTTTAATTAATTCAGTTGATAACCTCTGCATTAGAGAAAAAATTCATTTCAGGGTAATCCATCAGTAATCCTCCCACAACAGACCTCTCATAATTTTTTTTTACATGTAAGGCATTTGATATCACAGGTTAATTTGTTCTTTCTTGTTGATCCTGTAGAAAATCCTGGTGGCCGTCACTGTGTTTGACTACGACAAGATCGGAAAGAACGACGCCATCGGGAAGATCTTTGTGGGTAGCAAAGCAACCGGCCTGGGTCTGAAGCATTGGTCTGACATGTTGGCCAACCCCCGTCGCCCCATCGCCCAGTGGCATCCATTGCAACCCGAAGAGGACATCGACGGTCAACTGGCGTCTTTGGCCGCAAAGAAGTAACTGGTTCCACCAACCAGCTAATGCACCTTCCAAACTTCCAATTCCTGTTCCCTACTTTGCATGAATCCCATGATGTAACACTTGATGGCGTGTCAGGAGAACCACTCAGCAAAAAGAGACGTTGCAGAAGTTTTTTTTTTTGGTTATAAACATCCCATTTCAAACCTGAGTTTATGTGGAAAGAAGAGGCGTTGAATTATCAGGTGTCTGTTTCACCAACTCTTGGTCTTTATAGACTTGAAGAAATTTAGAAAACTGATTCTTAGGGTGCTTACGGTGAACGAAAGTCTCGCTGAAGACGATACTGGGAAAAAAAAGCTTTATAGTTTAATAGAAGAGCATGCTTTACTGACCTGCCCCACTGCACTGCTTTCACTGTTGTATTTTGCTAATATGTGTGCTATACCTTGCAATAGAAAGTAATATAGTACCGTGCTGCTTCCAGCACTCGGAGTGGGACTTGAGTACGTAGAGAAAATGACAAAAGGTTTAACAGACATTGAATGGCGTGGCGTTGATCTGATTTCAGATCAGATCTGTTTCTGAATCATTTTATGAGTTGTTTTACAGCTGGGAAGGAACATCACGGTTTCTAGCAATCTTTTTTTGTGCTGTCCTGACATCTATGCATTTAAACGTCACACGCGCTGTTTTAATGTCTTCAGAGAGAGATCTGACGTAGGACAGGAGATCATGGGTGCCTTTTCCCGACAGGACACTTGGGGGGGTAAATCAGTTGGCCCTGGTATTTATTCTGAACAGAGAATGTGTTACAGACAGCATGTGGATGTTCTATGACGAGCTGTGCTGCTGACCACTTGGATGTAAAACCTTGTTGACCAGTGGGGATCAGTAAAGGTTGTAGAAGGCGATGATGCTCAGTTGTTATAAATATCTATCTGTTGATACAGGAAGGAAAGAAAAAAGAAAACATTTTTACCAGCGATTTGATTGTTTTTTTGTTTTTTTTTCCCCATTTCAGCATTTGAATAGTGTGTTGTGATTAGGAAGAATTTGACGGCAACTATTTTGACAACTGTTACTACACTTTTTAAGAGAAGAAGAACTGAACCACAAGCATCACAGATTTGTTCTTGTGTCACATCTTTCCATATTGTACAAGACCAGGACTATGAGCTTGAACCAAAAAAAACCCCCTGGAAAACACGACGTGGATCGTGTTGTTGAGGTCGATCGCTCACTTCCAGGCTGCGGGCTTTGTAGACAATGGAGTGAAACATGTTGAACCATGTTAGTGTTGATGGAATAAAGGTAGTAGTATAAAGTCTTTATATACAGACTGAAGGGATGTGCAGAGGTACAGAGTCTGTGGATGACCAATAGACTTTAGGGCCAGAAGAAGAATTGACTTAATTAAATTTATACTTAGTTTAGTAACAAAAAATAAAAACATAGAAAAAGTAATAAAATACTGGACAAATGTAATGGTTAAAAATGATCAAATTTCTACCTCAAATCTCACAGTATGTTCAATACTGTTGTACAATTTACCATTAAAAATATGTAAAATAAATAATTAAATATCTTAAAATATAAATTCCCGAATAAATATTTAGAAATATATTAGATCTTTGTCATAGGGCTTCTTTGAGGTTATCTTAAAACTAAGAAAAAATGTAAATGGAACAATATGGACATTATTGGTCTGGAATGGCAGAAATGGATTAAAGTACAACAAAGGAAATGCATTAAATGGAATAAGAATACTTATTTGAGGTTTTTTACAATATCAGGAAGAAGAAAATTTGGATCAGATTAGGAAGTAGAAGAACAAACAAGTTTGGATAATTAGGTCAAATTTCAACCATCTTCAGCTTCTGTCAGCCGTCACCTCATCAGCAATAGTGAAAATGACCTTCGCTCTCGTCCCGTGTCACCACTTCCTGTTGTCCACATTATGCATTGCTCAGATTTGTGAATAGACCCGCATGAATTTCCAACGATGATGTACATAGTAGCATGTTTTGAAGAGGATCCATTACTATATTGTGTAAATGTGTGTTTGTGTTCTATGTCACTATATTGTGTAAATGTGTGTTTGTGTGTGATTTTTTTTATAATAAAACCCAGTAAAAAACAAACAACAATATGCACTGACTGCAAAGTGTATGTATTTTTGCTAAATGAAACAGGACTGAATGTACGTCTGAGCTGATTCACGTTAGGGCTCATGGGCTCCTTCAGGCCTGACACTATAGCAGGGTTGCTCTGTGTAACGTGTGTGCAGAACCAATGTTTTTTTTTTCTCATAATGCTGCATGGTTGTCTTATTTCTTGTCATTTTTTTGTACGTGCTGAAACCAGTGTAACGGTATGCTTGGGCTACACGACAACAATGTAATTACTCTTTTATTTCTGCTTGCAGCTGTGTTTCTTGGTCCTTGGATCGGCAGACTGTATATATTTAAGCGTTCTATATAAATATAGATATACATACAGATGATTTTCTATCTCAGTGTACCGTAAGTGTTTCCTTCGTTGACTCCTGCCAGATGAGTGTCAAGTCTCAGTTACCTAAATGTAGATAATGTGGAGAGAAGAAGTCTGACTCAGTCCCTTTAATGTTCCCTCAAATGTACCCTCGCGATTTTCTGCTGTTCAAATAAACCTGCTCTTATTTGTCTGATCACACTCTGTGATTGAAATCAGTCATTTGCAGTAAAGACGACCCAGGCTGAGTTTGTATTTGTTTTTAACGCAGTCGTTTATACTTGATGTACTGGTGAGAAAAGTAACACACACACATTTGTATATGTATATGTATTTATTATTATTATTATCATTACACAATGACTGCAATTATGTACAATGACCTGAACTCAACACTGCTGCACTGCTTAAGGATTCCACACCTGATCTCGAGTTAAGAAGATAGTGACATTATGTTGAAAACAACAAAACAAAAAACAAAATACTAGTGTAATAGTGGTCTGATATAAATGAGTGTCACGAGTGGCTCTGGGGCCACAGGTTGCACACCCCTGGTCCTGGCTGATAATGGAATGATGAATGTTCTTTTCGTTTCAGATGTCTTGTGTCAACACACACACACAGCTTGATGTGAAGAAACGCCGTTGGATCTGTCAAGGCACGTATTCAATGTTCATCATTTATTTTTATATTAAAGTTTGCGGGTTTTTTAGCATTAATTTAGACACAAAATTCATAATTTTTGGATTATGTCATTGTTCACTCCAGCAGAATGTTTCAAATCTTTGTTTGCCGGTTAAAGTTTGTCTGTTTATGGTTATTGAACCCCAACTCGATGTGATTATTGACTTTGACTTTTATTAATGTGATTTCACTCATCCAAATTATTCTATTCTCTTGTCTTTTGTTCAGCGATGTACTCCACTCTCCAACATCACACATGTCAGAGGTCGAGGTAAATCTGCCAACTCATCGATGGACCAGTGACCTTTCACACCACAGCTGATCCTCCATCACCGTCTGCTGCTGATTGTTCAGAGCGTCTTCCCGGGTGTGTATAAAAAACACACTGAGCATTGCAGTTTCCATGGTAATACCTAGGTGAACATATTATATGCAGCGTTCCGTGCCCATATGTAGACAAGGAAAAGCTGGGCTGTGACTCTGCAGGTCTGATTATGGTTTAATATCAAGACGCCTCTACAGAACTGTTTGTTTAATCATAGAATAAATGTAACTGAAGGCATACATTTCAGTGATAAATAGATCAGGCCTCTGGAATCTCTAGTCTTATTTAGACAGTTTGGTGATGACACGGATCAGAGCTCCATTTTCATCCTTCAGCCTCTGATTCTCCATCTTCAGCTCTGACTTAATCTGAACACAGGAAAGAGGAAACAAATAAAATGCACACCTGAATTTAAAAATAAAATACAACAACGTTTAATTGATATTTTAGAGATCATGTTAGGTTGGATAAAGTAAAAATGTAACTGTAGTTCATTTATCTGAGTCAGACACGTTCAATATAAAATTATGATATTTTAGAAAAAGTCATTTTTGAGATAGTATACTTACTATAAATAATGTATACAATAGGAATAAACACAATTATATTACACAATTATATTTTATCCAACCAACTAAAGCGTTATAAACAATCAAATAAAGTCATTGAAAATAAATTACAATAAATAAACTCAAGGGCAAATTTAATAAATATAGACATCAATTTGTGGGCCGATTGTGGTATCTTCATTAGTCGGAAGTGGACCTCAGGCCAGAAGTTTGAGACCCCTGCTTTAAAAGCGTTAGGAAAGCGGTTGGGGCAAATCCACCATTAACAATTAGTCAGTCCATCACCGGGCCACATATAGAGACAAAAAATCATTCACACTAACATTCATACCAACGGTCAATTTAGGCGTGGGTTCCAGTTTCTTCTCATAGTCCAAAACATGCTCTGTAGGGAATTAGGGTTGATAGGACTCTGTAGGTTGGCCAAAGGGATTGGTGTCAGAGCCCCTCCATACCCCCAGTAGATAATGGATGGATAGATGGATGAATTAACCATTGTTTTAAAACTCAAAACAGGAGAATCTGAAAAAAATGCTACACTTGGAAAGGTTGAGATTGGGTCTACACTGGTTTCTTTACAAACATTATGTTCTGATGGCTGTGTGTGTGAGACAGAGAGACAGAGAGAGACAAAGAGAGAGAGGGAGCAAGTCATTACTCCTCAGCGTTCAACAAAAAACTGTTGTTTCACTGACAACGGCCCTTATTCTCTGTAAATGAGAGGTTCAAATAAAGAGGGTCTGACTGTAGAACAGAGGAACTCTGTTAGGACTATTGACAGTAGATGGGCCAGTTTGTGTCTGAGTGTCAGTGAAGGAAACACTGTGTTTCTGTACCTTACAGTTATGTCTCCATACATTCAACTGGATCATTCAGACATTATAATGAAAGATGTGGAAACGACCCTTTACCTTCAGCTGTTCTTCCATGTCTGTGATCCTCTTCTTGAGACTCCAACTTTCCTGTTGGGAATTTTTAAAGCACTATTTGAAGTTGGTGTAGAGAAACATGTTCTGACAGTGCAGGTAATGTGATACAAATTATATTTAGTCGAAAGAACAATTGAATTTACCAGTTTTTCTGCCTCCAGCATGGTGGAGTCAGAGTCTTTCACTCTGCCCTTCTGCGGAACAAAAGTTAACAAATGAAACGGCCTCCGTTATTTAAAAATACAAACACAATTTAGCCCTGCTTATCTAACAATAGCAGCTTCCTTGTGTAACTGCTATTATCCCTGTGACATTTCATACAAATGACATTATTTTTGACTCCTAGACATCATTTTCCATGTGAGGATAATCATTTCAATTATTCAATGCACCGTGGTACCCTGAGGTGCCTCTGCAGCAGAATGTGAAGTCAGTTCTCTAACAGCCGTGAATATATGAAATGTAAATATTTCCTGGAACACACTGGTGTACCTGAGTTCTCTGCAGTTGGTCCTGAATCATGACAAGCTCCTGTTTACTGGTTTCCAGTCTGGACTTCAGCCTCTGGTTGGTGGCCACAGCCTTTTCATACATCTGCAAAATTATCAGGAGTCAGAATTTACCAAGACATCCAGCAGGGGGCATTGCAAAGCTGACAACTTTAGATTTATACTGTTCATCTTTAGAGCCTGATTTTTAGTCAAATGATTTGTTCAAGGAAGGGAAACCAAAGGATTGATGACAGTTTCGTTTTCTTCACACGCTTGTTTCACAGCTCTGTTATCAACAGCTGGTTACTGTGCCTTTACCTTTAAATGGTAATGAGCCACGCCCACAATTGTATAACTTTGATCCAGAGTCTGATCTGGAAGAAAAAAAGCTCCAGAGGAAAGTGAAGAACAAATGTTCTAGTTTTGCAGCCATGTGTTCTGTTCTTGGATAATGAGATTGAGCTAGCTAGTGCTCATATGCTTAAGCCTATTTGTATTATTAATATATGTAACAGTAAGGTGAAACATGAAGGAGCCACCACAGAGTCATTTGGAATGTTGGAATGTCTTACCAAAAAATCCTAAAACGTAAGAAAAAATGCCAAAAACCTATTGGTCATTTAGCACTGTGCTACATTAGCATTTGTGGTTAGCTGTGATAGCAGTCCAGCAGTTGTGTATGTTTAGAGTAATTTCCAAATCCTTGCTGAGGTAGCAGTGGTAGACTGGGTGGAGCTAGCTAGTTTTTATCATAAAACTACTTACTACTACTAACTCCATATTTGCATAATACGTCCCCTTTACTTTTACTGTGTTAATGACTGTGCTATATGAACAATTTTGTTAAGAAATACTGAGTGTGCAGCATTCCTTGGATTATTGCGATATTTAATAAAAGTGGATCTGACAACACAACAGCCATCATATGCTGTGTATTATTTACCAGTGACACTGTGATGGTGACACCTACAGTAGAGTAAAGTGATAGTAGAGTCTAATGATGGTGAAGCAGCAGCGCAAGCCTCACTACACTGATCCACTGCAGCTGCTGGAGACCTGATCATTGGCCCGTTTGTGTTTCTTGCCTTTTTATAATCATTCTCTGTCTCTTCTTCTGCCTTTTTTCTCGACGACAGTCTGTTCTCTCTGCGTTTGAAGTAGGACTCGGCGTGGTTGGTCTTTGTGTCAGCGGTGAAGACTTCACCCGGTCCTGAGGAACTCAGTCTGAAATGTGAGATGTTAAGGTTTTAAAAAACAACACTGCTACAGCTCTGAGTGTCCTAGAAAATAACTGGGGGTGTTTTTACCTGGACAGCCTCTCATGCTGAAACGAAAGAAGAAGAAAAACACTTGTTAGAACTGCTATATCTGATACATCTCAGATTTCATTTGTTAAAATCAACTCACTGCTGGCCCCCATCATGTTGTTTTTTATGTGTCATGACTTTTATTTAGTGTCAGCCTTACAGGCTCTACTGAGAGAAAAAAAAATCTATTAAATCCATTATATCACATGTAGACAAATTTAAAATATACATACATAGGTGTGGAAATGTCCATGTAGTAATTTTAGCAACTAAAAAGTAAGTTGAAAAGTTCAAATACATTTTTATCTTTTTCAGGTAGACACAAGTGCATACTGCTATAGTATTAATCCTATCAGCAGGGGTCTTCATTTGTACATGGATGTCTTTAAAGGTAATGCAGGTGTCCGCAAACTATGGTACGCATACTTCTGCTGGCACTTGGGCTCCCCCTAGTTGTAAAGGGGAGAATTTGATTCTTATTAATAGAAGATAATTCAGGCCCATAAATAGGCCTGTTTGATATGCTTGCTCTCTGTGTGTGCTATAAAGCAATCGCTCCTTTATTAGGAAATTGGCCTGACTTTTCAAATGACAACACAGCCAGATAGATTCATACTGCCTGCTCTATACACACAGCGGATCTCTACAATAATGCTGGCGTGTAAGCTGAGTTTTAGTAGAGTAGTGGTAGAGCCTCAGGACTGAAGGGTTTGTTAATTAACCTACGCACGGTCAGAGAAAGTGTTACATTCAGTTCAGGTTCAAATGTCAGTAAAAATGAACCTAACATGAAGTCTGGCAGAGACAGTTGTCCTCTGATGAGACGTGTCCTTCACTGTGTCTTTTAATGAAGGTTCCTCCTCCTCCCCAACAAGGCTGACGTGGAAGACACACTCTTCAAACACCGTCGTCTCTCTGTCATTTATCTGAGCACCTGCCTATTACTGGACGAATGTTGACTTCACAGACTGCGAGCTTGTAATGTGTCTGTCAAACCCTGTTAAACAAACAGCTCCCAAGTATAATCTGTGCTGCAGTGTGTTTACATCTCAGAAAGGCTGAGGGGAGAACGTGTCTCTCAGTGGATCCACGGCTTGGACAGGCTTTCAATGTTAAATTCACTTCATCTGTGTCCTTTACTGGAAAAGGCCATTATTCCTCTATCAAAGGACAATCAGAAAGTTCTAAGACTTCTTATATCGCACATATCTCCAGGAGCTTTGACTACTTTTATCATTATGTTTGTCATGTGCTGAGATGTGTTGAAAACGTTTTAATAATTTGTTTCAATCCTCAAAAATGAATCCTCAATTCTTACAGGATTAGATATAGTTCAATCTCATGCCCCCCCTCCCAAATAATAATAATTAAAAAAAAAACAAGGAAGTAAATTTCGGAATATGAAATATAGGATATGACCTGGTGTCAAAGGTCATCCTCCAGAACTCATCCTAGGAATTCTCTGACTGAATCATTGAAGATGATTGTAAACTTTAGTGGAAGACATGAAGGGAATACCATTTTTGGAAGTATTTTCTATAACTCTATCTAAGTACTTTTTGACTTACCAACAACAGACAAAAACAACAGCAAATAATTCAAAACAAATATATGAGGAGGAGAGCGGAAGAAACATTTTCTTTTCAAATAATATAGATGCAAATACCAGTGTGAATCAAGGATCAAAAATACACATATACGCAAGTATCATTGTATATACCTCTTCAAATGCTAAAGTAAAAGAGCACTATGCTCGCTAACAGGCAATCAACACATCATTGTCATAGAGATTACAGCTAATTTTCATGCACTGATCAAACCAAACCAACCACAGAGTAGAAAAAACCCCAAAACAACCTCCTTCCCTTAATGTCAGTTTGTCCGCATAAATACTGCTTATGCCCAGATGTGTATCACGGACCACCATTTGATTGCCCCTGTCTATAATTACAGCAAATCCCTGTTTCTATAATGTCGAAAGTATTTTTTTATAGATTTCTTGTCCTTTCTCTGACCAGTCTAATAAAACAAGATCTTCATCTCTGTAGAGAAGCAGTGATGTTTTAAGCTGGGTATGTAAACAAAGTGATTGTCTTGGGCTCAGACATGTTTGGATCTTCTGCAGACTCTGATGTCACCTCTCACCAGGCTCTTCGCCTACACTCGGGTCTTCGTGGCAAACAGTTATTAATGATACACAGTGTACAGCTCCGGAAGAGCCTGGATTTAGATTTAGGGACATGACATATAAACAGATGCTGACTGCTTGGTGTATATGAGCTGTCTCCGTCACTAAGTTGTCCTCCAGTTCCCCCTCCCGCCTTCCCAGCCACCAGCATCCCATGTAGAACCTCTGGTCTGCTGATGCGATTCCCAAGTGGAAAATTTTAGCATCCCGTAGGAATTGCAGAGAGATAAACATCCATAAATACTCTGTCTGTTTTCCCACAAGCTGCTCCTGAACTCTCAGTCCTTCATTCCCTCTGTTCTATGTCATCCTGTTTCTCACTCCTGCTTTTCTTCTCTCTCTCTCTCTCTCTCTCTCTCTCTCTCTCTCGCCCCCTCTGTCTCCTTTCCTCTCTTCCTGTCTCTCCTCTATCTCGCACTAATGTTAACTTTCTTCCTCGTACTTCTCCCACTGTGTATTTTTAGTTGACAAAAACAGTGAATACTAACAATGACGTTTTCTTGTCTTGTTTTTATTTACACAAACACACAGTGTTGCTGTTGTTAAATAAAAAGCAAATGTTAAAGAAATAAAAATTGTTTATTTTAGTAAATTATGGTTCACTGTCTGCAGCAAATCGACCCAAGATCTCTGGTGGAGTATGTGTACATGTCTGACATAAGACGAGTCGTCTAAGTCGGACCACATACCAGTAGTTTTGACACTGAAATATTCTTACGACTCCTGAATTTCTGAGGAGAGACAACTAGATAACATTTTTGTGTTTTTCTGTGTACTTTTTTTTCTGAGATTAGCAAAAATTACTTAACATTTAAGAGAAAAGAGATCAAAAGTAATACCTCAGTGGAACAGAGCAGTTCTGATGTTTGCTTCATATCAGATTAACATTTCCTGTTACACAAACACATCAACAAAAATACTTAAGTCTTACCCTGAGGCTCCTGGTCGATGCTGAGGTTGGAGGTAGAGCGGAGTCAGAAAGAGTTTTTCTGCTCGCTGGTTGATCTTTGTTGTGGGATAATACTGATGACATTATTCCAGAGCTGATTAAACCTTAACATACAGTAAAAAATAGAGCCAAAGTACTGGGAATTACAGCAAACTATCTAATCTAACTGTGAATATGTATAAATGTAAATATATGTCTTAAATTTAGTTGTAAGTTCTCATCTTTCCTCATTTAAAGTCAGCACCTCTCAAGTGTAATCCACATGTGACGGAGGAGCATTACATATGAACAGAACTAGAGTGAGCTCTGGAGAAAGTGCTGTGACTGTGCAGTAGACAGGCGGTGTGTGTGTGTCTCTGTCTGTGTGTTTCTCTCTGTGTGTGGACACAAGGATTTGACAGCTGTATTGTTTACATGAGCGCATGCTGTAAGCTAACAGTCTCCATGTCAAATTTTAAACGTGTAAAATATAGTAAAGACTTACTGTTTTTTAATTATTGTTATTATTATTGTTGTTGTTAGTAAGCTGTAGCAATTAGACTCTAGTGACAGCAGTTTGAGTTTATTTTTGCAAAATGATAACAAACAAAATTATCTTGTATTCTTCACAGACCACTTTTTATTTTTTTCCCAAAGTTGTTTATGATATTACATGAACGAAACGACGAACTAAACGAACACGAAGATCTTCACATCCATTTAAGTTATTGCCTGTAGTTTCTAAGATTTGCCACAAGATAGCAGCAAGAATCTGTGTGGCTTGTGAGAGACGTTTCAGTTTACACAATATGGCGTCGTCGGGACTTGTGTGCGGGTACTTCCGGTAAAAACTTCCGGCGTTTGAACATATAAAGCGGGAGATGCCAGTGATTGAGTTTGAGAGTTGAGTATTACAGCCTTTTAACAATGAATGTTTTTAGGATTCGAGAAAGGGGACATGTCCTTCAAAGTGTGAAAGCCTCAGCACTTCATTATTGTGTGCCGTCATGCACCGTTTCGTCGCGTTATAACAAAAAAGTCACCTTCTATTCATTCGCCGCTGACGCCGTGGTACGGGCTACGTGGATCCACAGAGAAGGGAAAACTTCAACCCGACCTAAAAACGCCCAAGGTTATAGTCAGCATTTCCAGCAGCCTGACTTGAATGTGACTGCCGCTGGGCCGAGGAAGCTGAAGAAGGGAGTCCGACCAGTCTACTTCTCATGGAATTGAATACGAACGACCTGCGTCCAGACTAAGCGTTTGGGAAGGAGTGATTAAAATAAGGTATTCGACTCTAATATAAATATAAGTGTTTAAAAAAGAATTAATCGTTTGTACTACAGAAAATTGAAAAAGTTATCTAATTTGCAGGGAGTCAATGTGTATAGTATAACTAATATATACGTTCTGTACTTAGGTTGTTTGTAAACAGGCTGTTTGTAAACCGAGGTTTAAATCCAGACTCTCATCTACCTAATAGCTAACTATTGCCCTGAATAACACTATTTGGAGTCGTGTTTGACATACATTATCATGGAGCAAGTGTTTTTTTTAAATTTTTTTTATTTTCTGTTTTTATTCATACATGAAATTGAAACATTTTCAAGGCAGCTCTGTTTTATAGCACTTGTAACTATTGACTCTAAACCAGACCTTCTAAACAAGTATCGAATCTTCTAAAGCTGAAATAATTAAGTTTTAAGTTGGTTGTTTTCATCGAGTAAAATCCATAAAGAAGAAATGTACTTTATTTAAATCAAATCAGGCCAGAATTGTATTTTTTTTAGATTAATTCCGCATCTGTCCAGCAGGTGTAGCTGCTCTTCACTCTGCAAAACAAACATATCTTTCATTCAAAACCCAGTGTATTTCAATTAATCTATGAAGGTATTTTAAATCTGTGCACATGTGTTCCTACCTTTGACATTCAGGATCATGGAACACTCTGAGATGCCCAGTTTGTTTTGAATGACAACTTTGTACTCTCCGTTGTCTTTGGCTACTGTTCTCAATATGAGCAGGGAGCAAACGCCACACGTGTTTGTGATGTAGTAGTTGGTGTTTGTGTTCAGGCTGACGTTGTCACGGTACCAAGTCACACGTGGTGCCGGGTTCCCCCTCACTGCACAACTCATACAACACTCGTAACCCTCTGGCGCCGTACGCCTCTTGAGGGGAACCAGAAAAGATGGTGGTGACTCAAGGTTCCGGCTTTTTGTTTCCCTCTTGTTTATTATGAACTTTTCTGAAATGCAGAAAACATATTTAACAGTAATTATTTGTAGTTTGGAAATATAAAACAACCTTAGGTCATTCTAAACATCTGATCAGAGTTGACGTTCAAAAACCTTTTTCCTTTTGGATTCCAAACCGAGGGGATTCTGAAGGTTCTGAGAGGCCCATGTCATTTTTAGCGTACACCCTGAAGTTGTATTCTCGTCCTGGCAAAATGTTGATGACTGTAAACTTGTTGTTGTAGAGGTTGTCGGCCACTGTCCTCCAAGTGCCCTTGGAAGAGTCCTTTTTGGAAATCATGTAGTGCAGTCTGTCGTCTCTCTTTTCATCTGGAGAAGAAGACCAGGACAGGGTCACTGTTCCTGGAATGATCTGATCCAACTCTACTGGTCCTGGAGGCTTAGGGTCATCTACAGTCAGATATAAGAACACAAGTAGAGAAACCATTATTAATGTTGGATCAGTTCACATTTTATAAATAACACACCAATTACATTTACCTGTAACTCTGACTTCAACATTGAAGTTCTCCAGACCCACCAGGTTCTTGAGTGTGATGGTGTAGATACCGGTGTCAGAACGTTCAGATGTGGGGATTAACATTTGAGAGCCTTTATCAGAGTTGGTGATAGTCACATGTTTCCCCACCGGGCTTCCATCTTTTAACCAAGAAACATCAGGGTGTGGGGAGGCCTGAAATATACAGTATGTCAGATTCACAATTGGACAAGTATAAGGACAGCAGTATTTTAATATCCATGTAGTAATGTTAAGTACCTCAAAGTTGAAGTTCAGACGTACTGTGTTACCAGATCTGACCACAACGAAAGTCGTCATATTTCTGTCCTTGAATTTTGGCCTCACTGAAAGTAAACAATTGATTAAAAACTTAAGATTGTACATTTAAGAATAATTTTAATTTCTAATATTTATCTGGACCACTACTAATTAAGAGAATTAGATGAAAAACTCCAACATTCATACCAGGACTGTTTATTCTTAATGCAATTTTTTTCATCTTTCAGTCATTTGAACAGCATGGTGCAAATTTCAGATTTTTTTTGTTCTATAAATGTCAAAAATGAAGCAGTGCAGGGAATCTAAATACTAACAGTTAGTGGGTTTTTTGGCATTGAAAAAAATATATTCTAAATACTAACAGTTAGTGGGTTTTTGGCATTGAAAAAAAAAAATTTATATATTATATATCCATTATATTTTAAAAACAAGTCCCATTAATTTCCAATTCTCTCACCAGGAGGGGGCATGGCAATCAGGTAATTGTCGAATGCCTGTGGTTCTCCATCACCTCCATAATTGGTGGCAATTACTCTCACCCAGTATGAAGTCATTGCTTTCAAACCCAGTACAGTGTAGGAGGTTAGACTAATCGGCATGGAGTTACAGCGGGTCCAGTCAGGGCTTTCCATAGGTCTTATCTCCACATAATATCCTTGAGCTTCATCTTCTGTCCCTTTTAGTGCCTTTGGTTTATTCCAGGCCAGAGAGAGTGTGGTGTAATCAGATGATGTTAATTTTAGGCCTGTAATTTTTCCTGGTGCCTCTGAAATGAAAGTGATAAAAGGTTTAATGTTGTCATTATATCAGATATTGTGCTGCTTGACTTTTGATAATTATAGTTATTTTTTTAAGACATTGGTTTGGCGTACTCATGGGATCTCTTGCGATCACCGTGTCACATGGGATACTTGGATCTCCTGCACCGGACAGATTAATAGCCGACACTCTGAATTCATACGCTGCCCCTTCAAAGATGTCTTTCACTGCATACTTTGTGTCTGTGGGGAAAAGAAAGGAAGACATGATTTATTTTACTTTTTCCATCTTAATATTCATTCATTCATATTGATTCAGAATCTGTATCCAACTATAATATTCCTGCTCATTATTCTGGGAAGCAGACTACTGCTGCTGCAGGCAAGAACAAAACTTTGGAAACATACAGGAGTTTTACTGCAGAAAATATGGCCATTTGTTGAACTTTTTCTTTTAAATTCCTTGTAGCTGAATTTGAATGTGTTGTAGGGAAGAGACAACTGAAAAGACTGAACTTTAAGTATGTTTAATTCAAAGTTCTGTTACTCCTGGAAACTGACCTGTGATCAGCTTTTCGGAATTGTTGCTCAGTACAGAAAACAATGCATTTTGTTGTGATTTTTGTTGCAAATTATTTGTCTAAATATATATTTTTGATTAGTTATAAACCACGATCAACCCATAGCTACCGTACTATTAATCAGATTTAGTTTTTAACACATTTAGAAATGTAATAGACCAGTGTAGTGTGCCCCAGCTCCACTTATGATATGACTATGATGTGATGCAAGTGTTCTGTCAACCTCCAAAGATGTGTACCTGTAATCGGCCCTCCTTGGTTTACAAGACTCCAGTAGTTAGTGCCTTTCTTGTGCTTCTCCAAATTGTAGCCCACTATTTTGGTTCCTCCAGTGTCACATGGAGAACCCCAGGTCAGATTGATGCAGTCTTTAAAAGCACTTTGAACTTTAGGTGCTGTTGGGCTTCCTGGATAACCTGTGGGACAATAAGGAGACCCCTGGTTAGTCGTGATATTTACATATAGTCTTGGAAAATAGTATCCTCAGACTTACGCAGTACACCCGCTGCTATGTCCTCCGTCTTCAGATAATCACTGACGCCTTCTGCGTTCTTGGCTTTGATCCGATAACAGTATTTCCTTCCAGGGTCAACGTCTGAGTCTTTGTAACTTAGGTTTTTTCCAGGGATCTCTCCAAGAGAAGTCCACTTATTTCGCCCCACCTGTTGGCGCTCTATGATGTAATTAGTGACAGGGCAACCACCGTTATCTTTGGGAGGTTTCCATTTAAACTCCACAGATGTTACAGCACTTTCCACTATGTCCACAGGTCCCAGAGGTGGACTAGGTTTGTCTGTGAAAGAAAGACAAATAAAAATGCAAATAAAAACAAAAAACCAACCAAAGTCAGGATTTAAATCTTTTATTTACTCACCAACTACGATAAGTTTTGAGATGGCCTCCATTGTACCAAATTCATTTTTCATTTTGATTTTCACATCTCCACTATCTTTCCTTTGGCACTTTGTCAGACGTAGTTGGCTTTCATTGGCTGATGTTTCAATTTTAACATTAAAGGCAGGTACAAGTTCATCGTCATCTTTGTGCCACTGAACGTTCATTGGTACACCACCAGAGAACGGAAGCTTCCATTCTGCAGTTTCACCTGCTTTTACAGTTACTGGCTTGGTGAACTCTCCCAGAGCATCTTGGTCAATTTTTGGGGGGTCTGGTTTGGAAACAAAAAAGAGTTTGTCTAAATCTTACAATTCTTTCCAACAGCTTAAATAAATCAGATAAATGAAGAGTCTCTTCTGACCTTGAATATTTAGAGTTGCCTCTGATTTACGTCCCTCAGCTTCAAAGCGATAAACGGCAGTGTCATCGTTTTGACAGCAGTCAATTATCAGCCTGTGACAGGCTCCCTCTTTGATTATTCTTACTCCATCCTCATTGGTTAGCTAGTCATGTACATGAGGTTGTATAAATTAGGTCAAAGACAGTTTAAAAGGCTTTAGACCACATGCTATACACTAAAGCAGGGATTACCAAAGTGTAGCGTGTGCACCCCTGGGGTACGTGAGCTACCACTAGGAGGTGTGCTAGGTACAAAAAGTGATGGTGGTTTGGAATATTCTTTTAGTATTTTTATACATTTCCATAATTAAAAATTTGAAATCAAAGGCTGACATTTTTATTAATGAATAAATGACAGTTGTATATAAATATATGTGTGTTTTGGACATTTGAACACATTTAAACATCACACATTTATATGTAAGGTTGTTTGTTTTTGTTTTTTTTTCGAAGATGTAGGAAACTGGAGGTGCATCAACCTAGTTGGGCTACAGAAGGGGTTGCGTGGCCAAAAAAGTTTCTCAACTACTCAGAATTATCTGAATGGTTGTCTTACCAGCTTCCCATTTTTGTACCAACGACCTTTAGTTGTCTCACTGCTTATTTTGCAAGACAACTCTGCTCGTTCCCCGAGTTTAGCAGTTGTATCAGACAGACCACTGACAAACTGAACTCCTCGATCTGCAACAATTAAAAAACAAATAAAAAAAACAGTGGACTTCTAAATAACATTGTCAAACGTGTCAAAAAAAGTTAAACTTTGTCTTTCACAGTCTCATATATTGACAAAAAATATTAAAATTTAATCTTTGAAATATTTAGATGGGTACATTTCTGGCAGTTAATAGTTGAATTACTTTTGCTCTTATTTTCTTGAGGCTGTATTTGATTGATTTGATTTGTGGCAAGTGATTTTCGTTTTATGCTGTACTACTCTGCATTATATTTCAGTGCCTATGGGATTTGCATGCAACACTTTCACAAATTCTGTCTGCGACTGCATCCTTAATGTTATTTACATTTATTTTTGTCAGTAATTTTAGTAAAACAAATGATACACTTAGTGAGCCGAGGTTCTAAACGCCAACCACATGGAACTAAAAACCTTTTAAGAGCACTTGGAATTGAAAGTACTACACCAATCTCCTGTTCATTTCACACAGTGCAGTAAGTGATAATACCTGTAACAGTATCCGGAACTAAAGGACCTTCTCGTAATCTCTTCTTCTTACTTTCATCATTCTCCTCTTTCTTGTCACCCTTTTTATTCCCCAGATCTCCTTCAAGGAGGTTCTCATTCTTGTTATCACCATCACTTTTATCTCCACCAGTCTTCCCATCAGATCCAGCACCACTTCCATCCCCATCTCTCAGTGCAGCCTTTGCTGCTGCTTCTGCAGCTTCCTTTTCTGCCTGAGCTCTTCTTTCTGCCTCCAGTCTTTCTTGCTCTGCTCGTAGCTTGGCTTCTTTTTCCAACTTCCGTTTTGTTATCTCATCCTGATTATCGGTTTTACCTTTACGTCTTTTACTGCCATCTGGATCAGCTGGAACATGATTAAAAATCAACATGTTCAATAATCTGGATCAGATAAGATGTAATCGTTTCACAAAATATGATCTCTCACATAAATAAACCTCCTACACTCATTAATGATAGAATATATAAAAATAAATAAAATTATTAAATTAAATATTTTTCTATATTGTATTTATTTATAGTAACAATATCAAAAATAAGCATAAAAAACATTTCTCACCTTCAACTACAAGGGATGCGCTGCTGGCAGTTAAACCAGCGATGGCATAGTATTTGCCCTTATCTGCCTCGTTACAGTCTTTTATTGTCAACGTGTGAACGAGTTTGTCCTCTGAGACCGTGATCTCATATTTATCCACATCATCCAGAGACATGTCTCCCTTTAACCATGTGATTCCATTTAGAGGTTTGGAGAGATGGCACGTAAAGACAGCATCTTCACTTTCAACAGCCTTCGCATCTTTGATCTGGTCCATGAACTCCACAGCAGGTACTGGAGAGACATCGTAGTTTGGAGATGCAGTGTTTGGGAATCTGTTTTTTATTTATTTATTTATTTTTAATATTGTAATACAGAAAACCTGACAAAACTATTATGTATCGTTGATATATAATATCATAGATAATAGTTTTCTTTACCTTGAAAGTCAGTTGTCAGAACATTGGTGTCGTCAACATCGACCTGATAAAATCCAGCATCTTCAGGCTGAGGGTCTTTAATGCTGAAAGTATACCTTGTCCCACTTTTCTTCAAACAGTACTTGGAATTTGCATCGTCACTATAAGGCACCAATTTCCCATCCTGTGGAAACAAACAGTGGGAGTTATGTTTTTGATGAGGGATATGTCTATATCATTCCATTGGCTGGATATTCTGAAATAGCCTTTTACTTTAACCACCTGTGTCCAGTTCAGTCAGTCCCCTTATAGTAGTTTGTTTAAGTTGGACAACATTGTTAGCAGTTTGAAGGAAATTTAAACATCGGGGCGAAGACAGGAGCAAGATTTGTTCGATTATGATATGAGCAAGTAATAAATCACTAAGATGGGTCTTAACTTAAAATACTCTCTGTCTCTTCTTATGACGCAGTTGATAGATGAGGAGTTTATAGCTTACCAGGTCTGTTTATTATGTACAATAAGTGACACTCTGTTTACTGTGACTGTGTTTCCAGATAAAATGTTCAAATTAGTGTAAAAGCTCTGCTCACTTTCTGTTCAGCTGGCTGTGTTTAGTACTTTGGTTTGTAAACCTGATATTGGGACAACCCTCTTTTTGATGCATGTCAAATATTTGTTGCCATGTATGGTACTTTTCAACTCACCTTGTACAGGTGAATGGAACTGTTGGCATCCCATAGCTTCATGTCCATACTAAATTCAGCTCTTCCATTGGGTTTAATTTGTATTTGTTTCACATTCTCCAGCTTCTCCACAACCTGCAAGAAGAAAATTGACAGAATAATCTCATTGGTTGGCTCTAAGTATTATTGCTGTAGCTGTGACATGAATATGCTTGGGCTGACAGAACTTTGGATATTTACTTGTTATGATGCTCTGACTGGCCTGGGGCCAAGATAGCATCTTGCACAGGAAGGAGGCAGATCGGAATTTAGGATAACTTGATGTTAGACTGACTGTAGAGCCTTTGAGTTATTTATCACTTATACCCATGGCTGTGTAAATTCTTATTTGAATATTGGCCTTTGAAGTTTAAAAAAAATGAGCAGCCTTAAACTTTTTCTGTCAGCTACACCAAGGCGGTGTTTAGTTACAGCTGAAAGGTAGAACAAGTTGCGACACATCGACAAGGTCACAGCTTTTTTTCCTCAAATGTTGTTTTTCTTCAGCTAATTGAAACCTCTGTGTACCTTTGCCTGCTCATCCTCCCTTTCCTTCTTCATCTGGTTGAGTCTTTTCAACAGCCAGCGGAAGTCAGTGACCCCAAAGTCCAAACATATTTTTTCGTAGTCTCTTTTCCGAGCACTGAGGAGGAGTTCCCAGAGCTTCGGATCAATCTCTCCCTCCTTCTTTGGCGGCAGTTGTTTTTTTCTGGTGGGAACAACGCTGAAGCAAAACATTATGTTTCACTGAGTAAGCAGCTGCACACATTTATAACAATGACAATCAGGCTGTGCTGAACGTAGCTGAACTCACGTTTTCTTTAGCATTGATCTGAAATCCTGACCATTGCCTGAATAAGCACATAAAAACAAACAGCATGATTACAACCATCAGTATACGTTTAATTGATGATTAAAGTCTTAGGCTACAACATAAGTGAACATATGTCATCAAATGTACATGTATGTACATATAGAGAAATCAAACTTTACATTGTTGAATGATAGCTTAATAGTTTCTGTCCAAAACCTCATACCTCCCTGGCCTTTCTGCTGTGAGCCCGCTGTAAATATACACAAAAAACTATGTTAAGTAGTATTCAAAATATTTAACTGTGATGGTTGAATTTGGTCAATATATAATGTAGCTTAACTGCGTCTTACCTTCGATAACATTTAGCGTTATGTTGCAGGAAGCCGTTCCGTAGTCGTTGGTTGCGAAGCACTTGTAGGTGTCAGCGTGTTCATGTTTAACACTAGGTATCTGAGAAGAGTAAAAATTTGTTTTTTATTTAAAATAACGTAGATAAAATGAGGGGTTTAGTTGAATATAAATTCAAAAAGCCAAAGTTATCTTTAGTTAATGCCAAAGTATTTTCTTTGTTAAAATACTGTTTTCTCACCTCCAAAATGTGCTCTCGACCTCTTGCATCATATCTGGTCTTGTACATATTAGGGTCATTCATTTCACCCCTGGTACGCTCCCAAGTAACAACAGGGGGCGGTGCTCCACTAACCATTGCTTTGAAAAGAGCCTTTTTACCTTTTAGACATCAGAAAGCAGAAACATTTTTTTTTTCTTTAATTGGTATAATTTGATGCAAACATAAAAATGTTTTCTATACTTTCTATCTATATTCTACTCTTATCTTTACCTTCTTGAACGTTTAAAGCCATTGGCTTCCGGGTGAAGTCAGGTGTTGACTTTCCCAGAGGTACAAGTTCAACACTTTGAATGACTGTAACTCCGGACACTCTGGACATTTTCTTGATAGCCACTGTAAAAAAAGAGGAAGAATATAGTGTGACTAAATTTAAACATTCCATATACAATACTGTATATGTATATGGAAATGTGTTATATATACTGTATATATGTGTGTGTGTATGTTTATAATATGTTTCCTCTTCATATATGTATAAATATGTGGATTATATGGATAGCTTAGTATTGAATACAAACTAAATAACAAGGTTCTTTTAAACCTGACAGTCAGACCGGTATATGGCTCCATCAGTTTGAGGGTCTTTGGCCTTTTTTAACCCCCCAAAACAAAACAACAACAGAAACTTGGTCATGTTTCTTTGCAGTACTAAATCTTACCAGAGGAGGTCAGTATTCTCCTTCTTGACAGTCGCAGCCACTGCAGAATGTTTAGACTTGACACCCTGATTTATGTTAATGCGATTTTTTTGGTGTCAAAAAGATCATAAATTGTGGAATTGTATCAGGAAGTCAACTTTATTTATTTATGCATTATGTTATTATAAATAAATAAATAAATAAATAGATAAATAAATAAACAAATAAATAAATAAATAAAAGTTCAGATGTCTTTATCTTTATCTCTGAGATCATCTTGGCTGAGCCAAAAAAGCCATCAGCATGTCAGCACTGTGTGTGCAGACAGCAGATGAGTTATGGCGATCGCATATTTCAGGTCTTTTCCCCTCTAACATTTCAACTGTGCCACGACTCACACTACACAAAACTAAGCTCATTCAACAGCTGTTGAAATCACGAGCCGTGACTCATGCCATTTGTTACTTCAACTGTACTAGTATGATACTTCACCAGGTCCCAGAGCTGCAGCATTTATCACAGGCTCGGTGAGTAGGTGAAGAGCTCGGTAAACAAACACATATGTATGTGTAGAAACAGCGGCGTCCAGGACAAAGTATTTGACATCTGACTTGTGACTTCATTGAGGCGGGATGTACTCCTGTGTACAGGGTTTTACATTTGCTTCTGAACCTTGTGATTTGTGAAACCACACAACAGTTTTTCTCTTACTTTACAATGTTTTTATGGAAATATATTACAGCCAGGCAGAAAATCTTTGCCACTGTCTCAAAGGTTTACTCTGTCAAAGTGTTTATATCTACACTGTAAATGATAGTGATGATCATTTTTAATTGTTTTATATTTCCAAATACAATCATATTAATATATGGGCTTAGTTATTGGTCTTTATCCCGGGATGGCGTACTTGTTGTTTCTGGTATATGTGTGTGTGTTTATTTGTTACCTTTGGCTTTTTGATCCTTGTTTTTGCCTGAAGACATTTTGGCGTTGTTTATTTCCCTTTTTAATCGGTGTCACTTCCACTGAAAGACAAGCACAGGTAAAAAAAAAAAAATCCCATGTAGATTACATTACATGGTTACATTTTTATAAATTAACATTTACATCCATTAGTTTATAACATTTATACACTTTCGTTTAATAGTTTAACAAAATACCTTTGTAGGAAATTAGTAGACAAAGATTTCGATTTTTTAATCTATTATTTAAAAACAGACAAAAAGAAGACATAAAACTTTATAGAATAAAACAGGAACGTTTTGGGACAAATAAACACATTGTTACTACTAGTTTAACTATTTAAATTACCATAGCTGTTTATTGGAGAGAACCGACTGGCGAAAACTGCTGCAGCCAGTGAGTGTTTACTCTCTTTCTGCTGCTCCATGTCTTTTTTTATGTTTATTGAGCCAAATTAAGCTCCTCTGACAATAGTCCACTTAAATTGAATCCTTAAAGGCAAATTTGTTTTTGTGAATTCTGGCAGTAATTCTAAATAGATATGTATTTTTACTTTTTATTAGGGATTCGCAAAAAGACAAAGAACTCAATTTAGTTTCTTAAACATAAACCGATTAAAAATGAAAACGTGGAGCACACACCGGAAATGCTGCAATAACACAGGATTATCTTCACATGCCCGTCAAGCATGGACAGTACTGAAGACAATGAAAGATGGTTATTATTAGCATTTGTGAGATAAACAACATGAGCTGCTCAAAGGTCAGGGGTCACCGGTGTGGGATTCTCCTTTTCATGATACACCAAATATTTTGAATACAGAAAGGTGTGCACTGCAGGCAGGCCAGTCAGGCCCTTACGCATTACGTCTATGAAGCTACGTTTTGTGATGTATGCAGAATGAGGCCTGGCCAGTGTTGTTGCCATTACAAGTTTTCATTAGAGAAATGAATTGATTGGACCAGCAACCCTGAAAATAATTAAGCAGTTGAAAAAAATGAATTAAACATGTAAATTCTGGTTCTCAAACTTTATGGATCACTGCTAATGTGACATTTTTTAAAGGGAAGCTCGTCTTGTTCCATATTTATAATCACTGACATTTAGTTTAAATGGCGCTTGTAGTGCTTGATACTTTGAGTTTTAAGACATTTTATTCTGCCTCTGATATTTATCTTGTAAGTCATTCTTTGAATTCATTATTTCATTTTGAATCACAGTCCACAGTTTCATACACGTGGCCTAGATATTAAAGTTGTTTTAATGTGAGTCAAAGTCATTCCCGTCACTCTGCAGCACGACCCAGCCTGCATCCTTCTCACTTATCAGTCGACTAATCATTTACCATCCCCTAAGGCCACGGCACATTCACCCACCAGGCTTCAAAGGCATCATCTGTTGTCACAGAAAAGGCATCTGCTGAGGCAAGTGTGGATAATTTCTTTATAAAGAATCGTCATCGGAGTGACACGCGGCTATTTTCAGTTTTCAGACAACAGATGTGCAGCTGGAGGAGGGTTTTTGCGGAGTGATCAGAGTGGCAACAACTTGAGGCACCACCACAAACCAACATTAACACTACACATCGTGATGACTGAGACAGCCAGCTGTCCAGCTGCTGTCCAAAAGTACTTTGTAGAAAAAGTATTAAGTAAATATGACAATATCAAACTATAATTCACGGTAAACTGTGAAACTTTAAATATTCAGGATGATTATCTGAATCTATTTAAAAGTTGAATAATGATGAACATTTGTGTTATGGTCTCTACAGGGAACACATTTGACACTGAATGCCTTCTGAGACGAGTTAATCCAGAAGAATTGAACCCAGTAAAAACAGTCCGTTGTGAAGTTTCTTCGGGAAAATATTTGATAAATTTAAATTTGTGCAATTGAATTGAATTTGTCCATTTAGCTCAGCTATCTTAGCTCAACTTAGTGTAGCTTATTTTGGCATATCTTAACTTAATTTGTTTTTCTTATCACATCTCAAGTTATCTTGGCCTATCTTGGTAATCCTTAGTTTTTCCATTCTTAGCCAATTTATTTTAGTTTATTGTCATTTAGCTTATTTTAGTTTATCTTCCTGTACTTTAGTTCATCTTATCTATTTTGATTTTCATATTCATATTTTTCCGTATTAACTGAAAATATTTAGATTTTTATAAAGAGCTTTTTTTTTATCCCCGTTTTAATAATTTCACTTCATTAATTATGGATTAATTCCACCCATTCTGCTGCTGCCAGTTTGGTCAAGGTCATGTGAATCAGCCTCTGTCACTGACCAGAATCTTGTGGCATCTTGGGTCATAAGAACGTCAAACACATAAAAACAGGGTCATGAGCCAGAGGTGGGTTGAGGGTGGGCCGAGACACAGTGCCTGGGAGCTTCTCCTCATGTGTCGCCTCAGTCTTTATATGACATCAGCCTGTCAGAGTGGGGGATGCTTTGACTCTTGTGCGTGACCCACGCAGACAGTTGGAGACGTGTTAGGAAGCTGTTAATGGGGGAATGTGAAATTTCACCTAGTGGCTGACTCTGCCCATCTGCCTGTGGAGTCATGTGGCTGTGCCAGCATTTTTACTGCTCATGACCCAAAATAGACCGGAGCGGAAACTTTGCTGGACCCTCTAGAGACCATGTACCTTTGAGATAAGTAGATAACTATTTTTGTCGGGTGATTTTTGTTTAGCAGAATTCCAGAGTTACTCTTAACGCCTAAATGTTTAGTTTTTATGTGGAGAAAAAGACAAGCTCAACCTCATTCACTAATGTGAAAGGAAAAGAAAAACAACAGACAGATAATGAGATGCTGGGTTTAATTTAAATAAACCTCGGGCTACGAGCAGTAAATTTGAGATGACTTTGACCTCAGTTTAGTGGCGAGAACTTTGGGTCATGCACCAATAGATGGTCATAGTGAGAGCAGCAAGTTTTGGTGGAGAAGTTTGAATCTTTAGGATAGTTAGGCAGAAATTGTACTATCTGCAGAGGTTAGAGGTTTTCAATTAGAGCTGAACTGTTTCTACCTTAGGCCTGTGAGGCCATCTGCCGTCTATTTTTAGGACCATTAAACACTACAAAGTTCAATAAAAAAAAAATCAGCCCTTGAAATGATGAACATAGGCACTGTAAAACCCTTTGTTAGCAACACTTTAGCAGCCGTTAGCATCACAATCTTTGATTAAAAAAAAGCAGCACTATGTCAAGTTCCTTATTAAATTCAACGTATTTAAGAATAGTTCTCTATTTCCCTGAAAGTGCGATTTATGGATCAGTGAAATATATATTTTTATATACACCGAAGCAGCTGTTAGCATTACAATCTTTACTAAAATGTAGATCTTTATTGTCAAATTTAAAGAATTTAAGACTGCTTAATAAACCTGTCTGTAGTTCAATTTCCATCAAATGTATGATCTTGGACAAAACAGCTGTTTCATGAAAAGCATTAAGTCTTTCAGTCAGAAAGATTTGTTATCGAGGTTCCAGTGAATAAACTTTTAACCTTAGCCTGTGGCCACTTGCTCATCCGATTCTAATTTCATTTATTTCAATTCTCAAAGTTGACAAATGGGAGTGTGTGATTCCATGATGTATAAAACAAAACAAGATTATTATCATTTTAATCATTTGTATTTTGTCTATTATAAAGTCTACAGAGTCTCATAAACATAAGCAATTTAAGAATAACCTCTTATACCATGTGCTGATTGTCTGACACTATTTTGATGTGACCTTTTTTTTTGGAGAAAAACAAAGTTTCCTCTTAAGTTTTGATAAATTCTTGTTCTTTGTAAACTAATATTTTGGTTTTTGTATTACTATATATTCACATAGAGTTAGTAAAAGGAAAAAAAAATCAAAGTTACCTTCGGATCCTTCTGGTCTTTGTTCAGTTATCCACTGTCAACCTTCACGTTCTTTCTCCCTCTAGCTACTTGTGGTCCTCCGTTTTTGTTGGGTGATAAGGTCCAGCGTGCACAGAAACCCATAGGGGGCTGAAATGTTGTGAGTAAAAACTCATATTATAGAAGTGTTAAAGGGTTGAGGTTCATCTTACTAATCCCTATGAAAGCGATCACTTTGCAGCGCCGCACTGAAAATACATTATGACTGTTCATTCAATCTGTTGTCTGTTATCAGTCAGCATCTCTCTACTATTACCAAAGTCAATGTAAAAAAAGACGCCGCAAACACTAATACCTTTTAATTATGTTAGGAATCAATTCATTATCCTGCTGTATTTGATATGACCAGATTTGTTAATGGCCGCAAAGCTGCAAAGATATTTGTCACTTGCTGGTGGAGGTTGGATTTAAGGAGCGGCAGTTTCACAAGGTTTCCTGGAAACATGATCAATGGACTGTGGTCACCAAACATCAATGTGAGACATTTTGTGAGGTAAAGCAATCTCTCTCTGATATGGCAAATTTGGCACCCATCGGTTCCAATTAGCCTTGTAAGGTAGCGTCAGAATTTCTTGCAGCATGTTCCTGGTGTTCAGTGGTAACATTGCTGAATGCTAGTTGCTGATGTTAGCGGGGGCGTGGGGGTTGTGTTGTCTGGTGTTGTGTACTCGGTGTACTAGGCAGGATTTCTGGCTGACATTGTCAGAGGACCAGCAGAGGTTAAGCAAGCGTTCCATTATCCAAACTGTTGGACAAGATACCATGACCTCATAAAATAGACATGACTACAAGAAAGTACTGACGACATGAGTGGAAAATAAACACAAATCTCACCTTTCACCAAACACTGAGTGACCACCGTGCCGAACATTACCAGTAGTACTGTCCAGTCCTATTATAGGGCACCAGTAAATACATCATTCTCAAAATATAAATATCTATTTGAAGTACATATTAAGTATTATGTCTTTTTTTTATTTTTTTTATTGTCTGAACTTCATAAACCTTTTTTTAGGGTTTGCTGTCACCGATGCTCTTTTAGCCACTTTCTATGGAGCCTTCAGGTGAATATATATAGTAAAGCAATAAAATGCATTTAGTTTATAACAGCCTCATGTTGGACCATGAAGGGCAGTGTGTCATGGGATCTCAGAGACGTGTTGCTGTAAACATTGTTGTTTTAATGATAGCTCAGCCAGTCTGTTAGTCTCAGTGTTAGTGTATAAAAAGCAATTTCAGCCTCAGAACAAATAAACAAGCCAACACCACACCACTGGCAATTTGACATTTATTGATCATATTTTGTCACTAAAATTGTTGTGAAATAATATTATTTCGGATACATTGTGGCAAAGGATCAGTTTAATTAATAAACAGTGTCATACACTATTGATTTAGTAAAATGAAACATTTGGTTCCTTTCTGTCCAAGATAACTCTCAGTAAGTGGTGAGTGGAATAAAAAAGAAAAAAATCTTGTCCTGCTAATCTGTGAAGGGACATATAAAAGAGACAAACAGTAATTTCTGTTGACAAAACTTCACTAAGTAATGTGTCCTAAATGAAGCAACACTTACCTCTAACAACCAGCTTGGTGGAACATTCCGCCTGTCCAAACGAGTTCACAGCGACCACCTTATATTCACCGCTGTCCTCCGGTCGTACCCGTAGGATGTACATGGAACACACGCCGAAGGAGTTGGTGATGTAGTAGTTACTGTCGGAGTTTATGCAGACATCGTTCAGGTACCAGGATACAGTGGGTGTAGGACACCCCCTCACGGCACATGTCATGTAAAGCTGGTATCCTTCTGGTGAATTGTGGACTTTCAGTGGAACCAGTATAGATGGAGGTCTTTCAAAGGACACTGCTGTTGAATGGACTCCATTTGACAATACTTAGAATCAGAGACAGAAAAAGTCAGATTTTGGTTTTAGGCTCCTTAGTATTCTTATAAGTGTTCATATTCATAAAAAAAAAACCCAAACAACTTACTTCTGTTGCCGTTGGCGCCCCACGTTGGTGACTGAGATGGGTCTGACCGACCCATGTCGTTTTTAGCATAGATCCTGAAGTGGTACTCTATCCCTGGGAGGATGTTATTGACTGTGTATGTGTTGGTGAAGAGACGGTCGGCTACCGTCTTCCACACTCTGGTGTTGGAGTCATGTTGAGACACCGTGTAGTACAGACGATCGTCAAGATCCTGGTCTGGAGAGGGAGCCCAGGAGATTATCACTTTGCCATTGACTGTTTGCTCCAATTCCACCGGTCCTGGAGTCTTGGGTTCATCTGGAAACAAGTAAGGGTATTGTGTTAGCAAGGATGTGGAGACTGGACTAATACCTACACCAGGGTATTAATCGCATCTGCCTCTTGAAGATTTTTTTTCAGTTTTCATGGGTGTAGGTGGTGGCCGTTGATAAAATGGCTTTTATTTTTGAGATGGAAGTCACTTTGTAATATAAGTTGGAGGACCAGCCAAACGACTAAAAATTCTTTGTTTGTAGTTTGGTAATTTAGTTTGTTCCTTACTGTACTTACGTATCTGTCTGTTCAGTGGTAGTCCATGTGTTGGGAGTTTAATGCCCACCTTTGCTATTCTTTATGGTGTAATATCATGGTTAGCTCCACCCACTATGACCAACTTAACCTATTCAGTGTGTGCTAATATGCTTAACCTATATGCAACAGAGTAATATGCGTGATATTAGTTTATGAAAATAATTGTATTTCTAATATTAGATTCAATGTCTATTATCATGGGGTACATGCAAATAGCTCTTTCTGTCTGATAAAATCTTTCATCAAAACTTTGGAGATTAATGATGAAGTCATGTGACCAGTAATCTCAATGCAGCATTATTACCACAGCACTTGATAAACACAAGTCCTCACCTGTGACTCTGATCTCAATGTCAAATGAAGATTCTCCCACAGAGTTTTTGGCAATTATAGTGAAAATGCCAGAATCTGAACGCTTTGAAGAAGGGATGACGAGCTGAGACATCCCCTCTATAGTAATGATGTTTATCCAAGGAGAAATGGGCTCGTCGTCCTTGAGCCAAGTGATCTGAGGAGCTGGCTCAGCCTGGAGACATCCATGTCAAACAAATAAGGTAGAGAATGAGATGTATTCAGTCAGATTATAGAGTGGATAACTCATTAGTCAAGGGTCTGGCAGGGATGGATTAAATGTAGAGTAGGACATTGATTATGTAAAGTAGAATTTTGGATCCAGTCTTACTTCATAACAAACTTTGACACGAGCAGAGTTTCCTGCTCTGATGACAACAAAGTCCTCTGGGTCTTTGAAACAAGGTCTCACTAGTGAGGAAACACAACAAACCTGAGGTTCAGTTTACAACAAAGCCACCAGAGAGTCAGAACCCATATAACTGAAGGTCTTAGGTTTAAATCATGAACATCTAATAACTTACTGTTGGGATTCTTTGCACACACCATTGCAGACGGAGGGCTGAGATCTCCAGATCCAGATTCATTAATTGCTGCGACCCTGAACTCGTACTCTGCTCCCTCAGTGACATCACGGACTGAACAGTTCACGTCTAAAACCAGTGACAGAAATTAGATAAAGTTTAGACACAGTTAAAAATAAAAATAATACAATAATCTAAATAATTTGTAAATCACTTGTCCCGATTAAGTGCACTTTCTAAATTAATTTCGACTTGATGACTGAATCAAATAATAGATACAAAGTTAAACAGCTCTGAAGCCCATCATCTGGCTAACTGAGGTTGGCTACACTATTGGTCTTTGAATTTTTGCGATTAGCATGATCCAAGCTAACATTGAAAAAAAAGAGGTTCCTTCACTGTTCACCAAATATTCTTGTGCTTTTTTTTTTTTTAATTTGTGTGCACTGATGTATGCTCAATGCATGTTCTTCACAGCTAGCAAACGTGGAGAAGATACAAACTTTAGGTACTCTACTGTTTCTAACGCACCTTCTATAGGGTCAGTTACACCATTCAGGGCGATCCACTCGTTTGTGTCCTTCTTCCGCTTCTCCACTTGATAACCAATGATTGGTTGTCCCCTGGTGTCCACTGGGGGTGTCCAGGTCAAACTAATGCACGTCTTAGAGGCATTTACCACTTTGGGGGCACCAGGTGGACCTGAGAGTACTGAGAAAATCAAGGGGGGTAACAGTGTAAATGACCAAAAACAAATCCTATTATTGTGGCAGTCAAAATGCAGATATTATAGTGTACATGTTGGGTCATGCACAAATTTTAAGGACAATTAAAGCTAAGTTTCTAAATAAATAAATAAAAGCATTTGATTTGAAGTACTTGATGTGACATGTTAATACTGCAGGATACTGTGAATATCTGAGGTGATATGAAATGAACCCTTCTTGTAGACAAAACTGTGTTGTGTTGATAAACACATTCGCAGGATCACACAGGTTATCTGAAGACTTCTGAGTCACCAGAGGTAGGGACAGATATCTGATTGTGCTGAGAGTCCATGAAACAGACTTTGTCTTTCCTTACTCATTACGCCTGCCATAATGCTGTCAGGAGTCTCCAGGGCATCACTGAGGCCCTCCGGGTTTTCAGCATAGATACGATAGTTGTACTTCTTTCCGTGAGTCACATTTCTGTCTCTAAAGGAAGTCTTATCTGCCACCACTTCTCCAAGTTTGGTCCACAGACTCTGTCCTGCTTGCTGTCGCTCTACTGCATAGTTGGTGACGGCAGAACCACCATCGTCCTTGGGATGGTTCCATTTGATCTCTATAACGGATGAGGTTGTCTCAACCACTTCCACAGGACCATCTGGGGGGCCTGGACGGTCTGTTGGACAAATATAATGTGGTTAAGATATACCAACAATGGTACTTATTGTGATCAGACTTTTGATTCTGTACCAAGAACAATAAGCTGAGATGTGGCCTCCACAGCTCCAAATGGGTTTTTGAGCTGGATCTTCACATCTCCTGTGTCTGTCCGCAGACAGTCTCTCAGTATCAGTCGGCTGTGATTGGGTTCTTTCACAATTTTCACCCCTCCCCCGTCTTTGATCTCAGTGCCATTTCTGAACCAGCTGACCATCAAAGATTCCTGGGGGGCAAAGGGCATCTTAAAAGCTGCGTTCTGCCCAACTCTGACTGTCACAGGTTTGGAAAACTTATGAAAAGCATCCTCATCCAATTCAGGGACATCTGAGAAACACAGTAAAGTTGAGTCCAGGACATTTAGGTGTAAATTGTTTTATCAATGTTTGCAAATACTGCAGGTAGGGACATAGGCCATACCTCCAATGACGAGCTTTGCTTGTGTACTGTGTTCTCCTGAGACAAAGCGATAAAGTCCTGTGTCATTGTCTCTGCAGCTTTCAATTGTCAGTCTGTGACAGTTTCCTTCTTTGGTCATGGTGACGCCTGTGGTTGAGTTTAACTAGCAGTTGAGGGTAGAAGAAATAAATAATTACATTGGGTATTACAGGTGGTGAGGTGTGTTAATGATGGTCAACAACAGCATTTAATAGTAGTTTCATAAACGTCACCTGCTCTCCGTCTTTGAACCAGTTTCCTTCACTTGGCACATTCATCGCCACAGTTAATTCCGCTGACGTTCCATGAAGAGCATAAATGTCAGAGAGTCCACAGGTGATTACAGGTTCTGGATAAAAAGTGGTCAATTCATTATTGGAATATCAATATCAATAGCTAATGTCAAGCTCAGTAAAAACATTATTTAAATGTACAGTAATATGCTTGAGAATGATTGGTTTAGATCAGTGGTTCTGAAACATACAATGCATGGGATCTCTGAAAATTTCTGTAAAGGTTCTTGGGTCATTTTATCTAAAGGATTTCTGAAGTAGACAAGTAGACAGGCCTTGTTTCTAAAAGTTGTTTCCAGTCAAAAGGAGCCAGGAGATGTGCCTTTGAGAAGGTTGGGAGTTCTAACTAAATCCTTGTTGTTTGACAGTTCGGTCGAGGAGCAAATTGTTTTCTTCTTTTAAAATCCTGTTTATTGGCCTTGAGGTGGCTGATTATTGGAGTAGAGGATCGTAACAGTGAAACAAAAAAGGTATTGATACCTGATCTATTGATGGCATGTTCTATTCACCTGGGTCAGGGTGTGAACTGGGTGTTGTATTGGCCACCTTAAGGTGTGAATGTGGGGATTGTTGGGAGCATCTGAAGGCCATAGTCTGCATTCTATGCATTAAGCACACATACCATAGTTTGAGAACCATCTGTCTTAGAGTTATGTAACTGTAATAAGTAAACTAATTTTCACTGATGAATATTTGTGATACCACCTCCTGCGACAGCATGTGGTTGATTGTTGCCTGTGGCTCCGTCAGCTTTGTGAGAAAATGCAATAAAAATAAGTCATTAAAATGGGATTTAAAATTTAGAATAAAACCAGTCTCTAACTCCAGTGTGCAGTAGAGTTGTGTGTGTTACCTCTACTGGACTCTTCACTTGCTAGAGCTGTTGTTTCCTGTTGTTGAGCTGTCAATAAAGAAGTCAGTATAAACATTTATTTGAGTGACAGGTTTGCAGATTTTTGGTCTGCACAGACGCAGTAAAGTTCTTTTGTGATACTTAAGAGTCCTGTTAGCGTGCGTACTCATGGCCAAAGGAAAGGATTGACCCCATAGGTTTGACATTCATTTATAGAGCTTTCCAGATCCATGTTTGGAGAACTGACCTAATATGATGGACAACATTGCCCCTGGCCTGCCTGAGGTACCATGACAGAAGGTCAGACACAATGTCAGGAGACTGCCATCTTTCTACCCAGGTATCTAATTGAAGCCACTACCTCCCTAAGGCTGAAAATAAACTCCCCATTCAGTACAGGAACTGCAGTATTTTTTTACAGTTGCTCCAAAAGAAATAACGTGAATGATACAACCTTTGTAGACAACCAGCAGACTTTCAAGAAAAAAAAAATCTGCACCAAAGTTTTCTCTGTTATTCAGTGTTACTCAGGGCTTTAACATGGACATATTATTTACTGGACAGTTAAAAATGATATGGAGAGGCAGAGTTGCAGATTTTGTGTATTTCTATCATATTGTCATAGTCTTAGCAACAAATATGTGATAAATCAAAAGTATTAAAATGTGTTAACATAGCTTTCAAACTGCACCAGTTAGGTACAAAACCAAAAGTCATCCCTGAAAGTACAATTTGATTTACACTCTTTACACACCACATCAAGATGAGAGTAATGACTAAAATCCACTAAACTCTTTAAAGAAAACATATTTCCATGATAATAATACATACATTTGGATTAGTTTCATATAAAAAAAAGTTATACATGCATAAAACAGATTACTCATGATTGACATTAATTGTGATAAATCTACAGCCACGTTGTGATTAATCAAATTAAAATTGGTATTTGTATATAATCTCAGTATTTATATGTTTAGATGGTAAATCATTATTTAAAGCGTAATTATTACTACTAGTTATGATCAGTTAGTAACAAATACCTGAGTTTTGGAGTCGCATTAGGTTATAGGTTGAAATTTCAAAATCTCTTACCAGCAGCTGCTGACTTCGCAACTGATGGAGCTGAAGCCACTGCTGCTACTGCTGCTACTGCTGCATGCCCATTCATTACACCTGTGGTAAAAGACAATAAATGATCAATAAATTAGAAAGTAAGTGATTATCTGATATATTTTAAGCGCAGTTTAAGTTTAATTGTTTTCATTGAATTCAAAACATTATTTTTTAACTTATTTGTCTGATGAAAACTAACACAATGAAGCTTTATAAAAAATTATAAAAAATATATTTGCCCCCAAAAATACATTTTATTTTCTTAACTGCATTACTTACATGTGATTATGTGGACGGTAAATCAATTGCCCTCAACTAAAACTAATCCTTTACACAAATTCCAAATTTGATTTGAAACAATAGTACTGACCGCCCCCAGTCACTGGATTGGATTTAGAGATTTGTGAGTTACCTGTAGGTTTTCAGTCAGCCTCCACTAACCTGTGACGTTCTTGCTTGGATCGTTTTCTTTGTGTGTGTTATTAGAAACTACAGCTGGAGTCTCAGTTTGTTCAGCAGCTGCAGGGATTTTAGATGGATCTGTGGTCACAGCAGCAGCTGCTGCTTCTTTGGCAGCTTTAATTTGTTCTCGTCTTTCGATTCTTTCCTTCTCCAGTTTTGTCTGTTGTTCTTGAGCAACCTTCTGTAAGTCCATTCCAGCTCCCCCTGCTCTTGTTGTTTTTCTTGCAGCCTTTTTTCCTTTTTGTACATCTTTGTCCGCTAATATGGGGAGAAATATTTGCAATCATCATAACATTACAAAATTCCCTCTCATGATAATGGAGAATGTCCTACCTTCAACGACAAGCCATGCATTACAAGATTTTATTCCTGCACAGGCAGAGTAAATTCCCTTGTCGACCACCATACAGTCCTTCACCAGCAGTCTGTGAATGAGCTTGTCCTCTGAAACCTCAATGTCATATTTATCTCCCTGTTCCAGTGGTAAATTCTTGCCAAACCACATGATCTTGGAGCAGGGATTTGACAGCACACACTCGAACACAGCGTCTTCTCTTTCTTTTGCTGCAACTTCCTTAATTTTCACCAAAAAATCCACCGAAGGAACTAAAAAATACAACAGGACAGGTTTATGTAAACATTACTGCATACACCATATCTATAATGATTTGTATGTTGGGCTTTTCAACTAAATTCCTTAATTGAATATTTGATGAAATGCAATACAAAATACATGTTATTTACGCATACCGTGGAAAGAAGTTTTCATTTCACTAAAGCACATCAGGCTTTAAATACCATCTCAATGTCAGGTAACTTTTTTGTGTTATTTTTGGAAATGTTGATCGATCTCAGTTAATCACGATCAATCATGACACTAATGCTCAAGAGTATATCAAAAACCTCTTGACTTCTGTATCATTTTCAATGGGGTAACTTAGGGGTAACTTTATTTGATCATTATAGTTGTGTTAAGCTGCATTACATTTTTATTTGACAGGCATTTTCACACCTGTTAATTAAAAAAATAAATGTGATGTCGTGACCTGGTGCCAAAGACATCCTCCAAAAGTTGTGACTGGTGTAGAGGGAAAATAAACTTACCTTTAAATTCAGTGGAAAACATGGTCACATCCTCCACATCCAACTGATACAGTCCAGCGTCGTCTGCTGATAGGTCCCTCATACAAAATATGTACCTTTTCCCCACTTGTCTGAGGGCGTGTCTCATCTCCTCTCCCAGCTCCTTTGTGTAAGGAACCATTTCACCGTCCTGTGCAGGAAATATGTAAAGTTTGGTCCAAGGATCATGTTTGAAACTTAGAATATTTACAGCAAAACCTTTGTTTCAAATGAACCTTAAAAAGATAAATTGAGCTGCTTGGTTCAAGAAGATCCATGTCGATCTCGAAGGTTGCAGTTCCATCCGGGTTGACCTGGATTGGCCTCAGGTTGGAGAGGCTTTTGACAAACTAAGAACAGAAATGAAAAGAATAGACTAACTAATTATTTAGATATTTCTGATATAAAAATAAAACCTACCCCCACAGACAAATCCACGTATAAATCACATGGGTGTTTCATTGAGATAAAGGCTTGTATTCAGCTTTTGCAAACTGTGGGAAACTACTACAAATGTGACGCTTTAGCAGATATTGTGTGTGTGTGTGTGTGTGTGTGTGTGTGTATGAAGCAGGCAGTATGGAACTGCATATTGTTAATTGAAATGTAAAGCCATATATTTTATAATGAGGTAACACTTGCTTTTTGTATCTGAGTTGACTGCTTTTTATACCATCGAGCTGCTTGTCACTTATTTATACTATTGAGCTGTCAAATGACAAATAATTTTTAAATTTGATTCATCTCAGTGTGTTGGTTATCGTGATTAATTGAGATAGAAATACAAATGTAAATAGCCCTGCAGGGTTGCCAATATTTGTTGCAAATCTTTGTCCATCATATTCACCTGAGCTTGATCTTTCTCTCTTTCTTCCTTCATCTCATTCAGCTTCTTGAGCATCCAGCGGAAATCTGTGACTCCAAACTCCACACAGATTCTCTCGTAGTCTTTTTTGTCAGCACTCAGCAACAGCTCCCAAAACCTGGGATCAATTTCTCCATCTTTCCTCTCAGTTTGCTCAGATTTGGGTCGAATCTTACTAAAAATGTTAAATAAAAAATAAACTAGTGAAATTGACCTGCGGGTCTAGTGGGAGATGGTTTATATAGAGTAGTAAAAAACCTACCTTTTCCTTTTCAGGACAGTTGTAAAATTCTCATCAGTATTTCTTTGTTGCAATGCTTTGTTCTTTTTGAAACCAACTGAGTTCAGTAAAGACAGGGTGAATCAACATGAATGATTCAAGTTTAGAGTGTTATAGGTTACTCAATGTATTCTGCATTGGTTAAATGGTTCTTACCTTCAATCACATTCAGTACCACTGTGACTAAGGCCTGTCCAAACTCATTTACCACCAAACACCTGTAGGTGTCAGCCTGGTCTGCCATAACATTTGGCATCTGAAAGACAGAAGGCCTTAGTCAGGTCCTGTAGTAAGTCTATATAAAGGTAGTCCAAATGTGCTATAAAGAATATACATATCAATGCAATGCTCATGATCTTTAATCCAATCAATCTTTAATCCAATTCAATTTAATTGAAGGAATGATTAAAATCCAATGTTTAATATATGATATTATTATAAATATTAATATCTTGCCTCAAACGTGTGCTCGTCAGAGTTGGGATCGTATTTGGCCTGGTATCTTGATGGATCAGACACATCGCCGTTATTTCTGCTCCAAGTTACAGTGGGCTTTGGGTCTCCAGTAACAATTGCTTTGAAGAAGGCAAATTTTCCTGAAAACAGAAATAAAAGGTCATTTTACTTTTTTTTTTTTTTATTTCACTGCAAACATAATGATAACTATCCTGGATCATGGAGTTAGGGTATTACATGTAGTCAGGATATACTGGGGATGGATTGTACTACCAATAAAAGTCAGACACAGTAATATTCAGGGTAAGCCTGATGCTAAATTGCAGTAATTTACTGCAGTGATGTGTTGGAATGAATAGTGTTGTCTTCCTATGGAGGAAGCTGAAGGTGGAAGAAGTGTAGCATTTAAAGCACACTCGCTGCTCTGAAGTCCAGTATATGGCCCAGGTCAAAGGTCACCCATAAGGTGAAGCTCTGGCCCAAAGGCATAGCAATATATGGATGGTATTTGAACTTGAAAGTACTCTGTTACTGCTGAGTTACATCTCCTGTGATGAATATTAAGAACACGTAAAAGAATAAATCAAATTTATTTGATATTATATTTTATATACATACGTATTACATTTTAATTGTATTTCATGAAAGCATTTTCCATTGTCTATAGGTTCAATTCTGTTTAAGTGATTTAAAAAAGATTTTTTTCATATTTTGCATATGCTATCTTAAATATGCTTTTAGTAAACTGAGTCCTTCTTGTTCCTACTATTTTTTCAAATTTTTGGAATTCATTTTCAAAATGACTCTTCAGACGGGATTCCTACCCTCTTGGATAGTCAAACCAATAGGCTTGCGGGTGAAGTCTGGGTGACTCTTCCCCTCCGGCAGTGTTTCAGTAAACTGTGTGATCATCACACCAGGCACCCGGGATTTTTTCCTGATGCCCACTGTCAGTAATCAAAACTTAAATGTCAGTTTAAAAACAAAAGTACCATTGGCTCATTAAATACATAAAAATCATTATCATCCTGAGAGCTTGAACTGCAACCACTTAATGACTCTCATAACTGTAATTCTGATTTTAATACACGTTATATAAAATCTCTGTTCTCCAGCACGGGGCCGTGACCCCTCTTTGAGAAGCTTCGAAATAGGACTGAATTTAAAGATGTAAAAAAAAAAAAAAAAAACCCAAAAAACTACACAACTCTGGACTCAATGAAATGCATTTGCACTGGCATTTTCAATACATGATGTCACTTTAAATGTATGTAGACATACATAGACTATCACTTTCATAAACACAAATGTATTTTTATGCACATTAATACTTTTTAAACCAAATAGGACATTAGTACTTACCTTGTCCGTTCGCTGTCCCATCAGTCAGTTTGGATTTTCTGAACATTTTTGATTCTTTGATTGCTCGTTTGATTCAGTAAAGATTTGTCCAACTGCAGTTTAAGGTAAATTGGCAGCAATTAAAACTCAATAAAATGCAAATATAAACTGTTTAATTATAATTATTCACAGATAATTGTTTATGTTTTTAATATGGACATTTGTATGTATTTCTGGTTTTGTCCTCCGACTGGTGTCTGTCTTATCTAACTTATCTATATCTATCTTTTGCTCCATGGTATCTTATCTACACGGGATATATTTCTGGTGTGTTCCTTTGCAGAAAACCATCACAGCATCCCGCCGTATGGCGTGCGGCAACTGGAAGACGAGAAAGGTCAATAGTTCAAATTCCACCTTAACCTACATATCCCATGGCAAAGCTGTTAATAAACTTGTAAATCACCAATATGTGCTCCATCTGAGGTAAATCTCTATCTTTAACACTGTAGTCTGAGGAGGAGTAGATGAGAAATACATCGAGTGGACCTTCATTTTTCTTCAGCCGGTGTTTGATACCTCAGAGTTGTTTTTTATTCTAACAGCCCTGACTGTTGACTGAGCTACACCCTCTGGGTTTAAGACTCTTTAAAACCCTGTTCTGTGGATTTGGCTTCTGACACAGCTCTACACTAAATGCCTCCCTGCTGTGAGAGTTGATCTTTATGGGTTTCATGTAACGGGGCTGAAATCCAGTACACAGGCTCTACACTGCAGGACTGAGAGCATCATAAAAAAAGATTAAATGCAGGACATTACTGCTCAGTGAGCAGGCAGTCATCTGAAGCGTCCACTCTGATGACATCAGTGTGTAACAGAGCCAAAGGAGACAGATCTACCTAATTTAGCCTTTAGCATTCTTTAGCCGCAAATGAAAAAGTCTATCAAATTGTCGGTTTCCTCAGTGTTGGTTCAATAAAGTTCATCTTCTCATCATCTGATTATATCTATAAACTGTAAAAATAAATGCTAATTTTAAATTATCTAATTATTTGGATAATTTTTTTCACAAGTCATTTTTCTATAAAAATCAGAAAATCCAAATCATTATATTTTTTAGTTGTTTTTTACACAAATATCTATCTTTGGATAAGAACAGGACAGCAATTTATATTTATACGCATCTAGCTGGTAGAGTTTCCTTGTTTTTTGTATATGACAATGCATATAAAACATAAAAAATACATATACATACATATATACTGTACATGAACATATAATGTTTACACATAAGTTTACTTTTTGTTTTTGACCACATTTTAACCATTTAGTTGTTTTTTCAACAAGATTTATAATAAATTAAAATAAAAGTTAAATACATTTAGAACTTCTTCCAACAGACAAATATAATTTGGATATGACTTCATTGAATTTAGACACAAAAACTGAAAACAAATGACAAATGACTAGAATGACAAATGACTAGAATTGTGTTGATGTTTTAAACCATAAATGTTTAATTGTAAGATGGAAACTTACACAAAAAAAGCTTACAGACAAAAAGTCTTATTATAGAGTCATTATAGAAGACTGGTGCTGAACTCACCTTGGTGCTTGTGTGATCCTCCTTCACTGGTCCAGCACTCCTCACTCTGGTATTTGAGGGTTGCCCTCCTGGTCATAAAGCTGTTAAATCCTAACAGGAAAGCCAATGACTCTGTCTCATGCACCCATGTTGTCAGACATCGTGGCTCCCAAGTATAGAGATGTTTTTTTTTAAGGTAAATCATGACTCATGGTGGGAGGAGAAGAAATCCTCAGACCAGTGTCACCTGACTATAATATTACACTATACATCTTTTTGAGACTAATACTGTAATTTTATGATTTCTAATCGATTTTTATGTGTCTTTATTCTGATCTTTCGTACATGGTTGTAACTGGCTTAATTGACTGTTATTCATTAAGTGTTGTCATACCTGACGCGTGGTGTTGTCATAGTTGAAGCGCGGTGCTGAAAGGTTGGAACAGACTGAATGTCAGAGTGTTGTGATGACAGCTGAGTATGTTTGTGTTGACATGATTGTGAATTTACAACAAAAAACATTATGTAAAAGTTTTGTTGAACTGGTGACTCCTCTTGACTCTCTTGATTTTATTGGGTTTCTCAGAATAAACTGTGTGAGAGCGTCAGGGAGGGACGACTTAGGAGGGAGGGTCGAACTGTTATTTACAGTGGTAACGAAAACGTTAACATTTGGAATTGGCCTAGTCCAGAGGCACTCAGTTGTTTAGGTTGTTTGGAAAAAGATTAGTGCATTGAAAAAGGAAGAGAATGGTTTGATATTAACTGAGCCAATCAAACTCAAACTAAGTCTTAAAAAAATGTATAATTTGGCCAAAATATTCAGTTACACATTTCTTACATATCAAAATAAAGAATAGCTTTTGCGATAACAAATAAAAGTCTTGATTTAGTCACCTTTTATCAACTAACAATACTTTATATAAGCTATTTTTTTATTCAAATTACCTCAGATGACTCTTGACAACTTTAGCTACAACAGTAGTGATGTAGCTAATGTTAGCTCTAGTGTAGATTGTTAGCTAATGTGTAGCTAATGGTGCAGCTAATGTCTGATTCAAGTCTTAGCCCTGAATATTCATCAAAAATGTATCTTGTTTTTAGTGGTTCACAGGTTGGTTTTGGGGATGATCTGGATGCTTTTCACCGTTGATTTCTTTTACTCGTGTAAGACAAAGCGAGTAGGTGGCAGCAATGCAACCCAATGGACACAGATCTACTGAACAGTGCAACATTGGTGATTTATATGCAGCCTGATTTTTTTTACATGAATTCTGCAAGTGCTCAGATCAAAGGGAATGCTACCTTCCAGTATACCTGCATTTCATAAATTGTTGCTATTCAGTAAGTCAAAGAATGTGCAGTCGATCGAGGACAAGCTATATCCTGCTTTAAATATATATGTAGATGATGTGATTACTGGCGTCCAATGTCTGTGTTCCAATCTCAACACACATCTTCAAATTTTATTTTGACAGCCAGTGAAGGTCACAAGAAGGTCATTACCAGAGTCTTTGATAGAACTTAAAAGTCAAAGGAATTAAATCATACCTGTCTATTTAGATTTATTGCAAAACAGAAAAAGTTATCTCTTATCTCACTTTGCTGGCCATCAAACATTTTCTGCTGCATTCTATTGGAAAGTCCAATGCAGATTCAAAGCTTAACACCTTGGGTGTTTGTGGAAGGTTCAACCCTATTATTAAACATAAACACCATGGCTCATCCCAAACTAATTTAAATGTAAATTTGCCTCAACGGTGCAATTATGATGACACAAGGTGTTTTACATGAGAATACCATCCTTGTTGGCATTTAAACTGTGTGGAAAGAAACACAATAAAAGCACATTGGCAGCCCTCTGACCAAGTTAGTAATTATCTCAGAATATAGATAATTATTATTTCATGAAATGATGCATATGACAGAAGTGCTGCAGGTTTGGTAGCAGAGAATTAGCACTTTAAAAACATTTGCCCACAACGTAGTGAGTTTTATTTACAGTGGGTTTTTTTTTGGATATTATTTAAAACCTCATTTGGTCCAATGTCTTACCACAGCTCAGTGATTGGTTTTGGTAATAACCAAGCTGTGATTGTGTGTTTGTGTCCGTGTGAATATTTTAAAGCAGTGCAATAAAAGTGGATTTGAGCGCAGGGAATATGACTGTTCTCAGGCATGACAAGTAAATATGAGAGGCTTGATGTTCTGGATGGCTTTTACTGAGAGGGGTCACTGAAGTCAGGAGGTTTTGAATTCTACTAATGTGAGACTATCACAAAAGACGCTGGGCTCTCACATTTCAGTGAAATATATTTGATAATACAAAAGCTGACTTATAAACATGTATATATTACTGTGTATATACAGTATGTATGTATATATCATTGCAATTAAAGATTTTTTTTTTTCAAATAAAGAAAACGTTCCCCGTAAGCCTCTAACAATAACCACGTAACACATGACTACAAGTTATCGTAATGCTATCAGAATGTTGTTGGTGGGTTTTAAATGTCAAAGCCTAGCACGTCAACTTCCCAGTGAGGCCCCCTGTACAATGGGTAATATTTGTGTCTCCGGTCTTTACACCCTGAGAGGTGAAGTTGTGAGGTTGTCTTGAGTCATGCACATGGAATTGCATCAGTTAGGACTTCCAATATTAGTCTTGCAAATTCTCTCAAGAGGTGCAAACACATGTTTGCAGTAAAAGACAAATTTGAACCCATGTGACAAACTGCGAAGCATGACATGTCCATGTGGAGTAATAATATAGAAGTTACAATAACGGCCTTACACTTGTGTTAGTGCTGCTGCATTTGGATAAAAACTCAAAACTCAACACATATGTATACATCTCTAAATTCATCTTCATTCATCAATGGTTTGTTAAAATCCCATTAAGTGATCAAGTAAGACAAGAGATGAGGCATTAAAATGAACAAATGTGTTCTTGATTATCGTCTGGTTAGCACCATGGAGTCCTGGAACCATTCATCTACTGGACAATCCCCTGCATGATCATCTGTTTGACTCTTACTTATTTCTATGGAAATGTTTATTAAACTGCCATAGTCTGACTTAAGGCCATCTCATTTATTCAATAAAGATGAACAAAATTTGCTCAGTTTAACTCAAACTCGACTATTGTGAACAATCTGACACAAGAGAGAGATTCCGCCAAATTGAACATTTTGTCTACTTTTAATCAAGTGTTTTTATTGAAATGTTTATTAATAACAAAATATTCAAACAATAAAATGTGAAACCATAAACTTGGTCTAAAGTGTGTTTTCAAAACAGTTCACTAGTTTTTAATGTATACTTAATAAATATTTTCAAACCCCTAACAACTAAAAATGTAAAGAAACAATATTCGATTTTTATTGGCCACTAGAGGTGCATGCTTTGTCTGATGCTCTCTTTTACTGGTAATGAGGACTTTTCTGGTTGGAAATGTTTACTAAGAGGAAATAAATCCAGTAGGTGGCAGCAATACAACTGGAAGACTGCAGAGCTGCTGTATAAAAACCAAAGAATTACATATTAATTAGAGATGTGTTTATAGCAACCCTGGGAGTAAAGGAGGGGGGTTGCATGTACTGTATGGTAAATCTCTGCATTGTCAAACCTGAGGACACATAAATGCAATTTTTTTTGTTTTGTTTTTTAGAAAAACACAAACAAAACCCTAACGCTACATTACAAAAGTTAATAAATACTGTAGGTGTATTTTTGTGCAAGATTCATTATCACGGTGTGAGATTAACGGTACAACAGCTAAAACATCCTGAAACAGTCAAAATTTCTTCAAACATTGACACGTTGTTAATTGTTTTTCTTCTGTAACTTTCTCTCTTTGTCGCAGTTTGTGTTTTAACACATTTTGTAGAAAAACACAAAAAACAAGCAGTTGACAAAAGGGTTCAGTTAGGTGATATTTTCTGTTCCATCTGTTTTTCTTCAGTTTTTCTGCCTCTTACTCTGCAGTGGGAGAAAAAGTAAAAAAAAAATCAAACACTTGAAGCCAGATCAAACAGAAGTTACACCTCAGTGATTTGTTCTTCACCTTTAACCACAAGTTTAGTCGAACACTCCACTCGGCCGTGAAGGTTTTCTGCTATGACTGTATAGTCTCCACTGTCCTTTGGCCCCACTTTGAGTATGACCATGGAGCAGACCCCACATGTGTTAGTGATGTAGTAGTTGGTGTTGGTGTTCAGGCTAATGCTGTTTTTGTACCAGGTCACATAGGGTTTGGGGTTCCCCGTCACTGCACAACTCATGTAGCACTCGTAGCTCTCTGGACTGGTGCGTGTCTTGAGAGGAACCAAAAATGAAGGAGCCATCTCAAAGTTACAGCCTTTGGAGGGGGGCATATCCAGGCAAAACTGTTCTGGAAAAGACAAGATACAAAAATAATAAAATGAAATAAATAATATAATGTTACATTCCATAAATTTAAAGTGAGGAAACAAAATCCTGACTAACTCAACAGTACACAGTATTAAAGCTTCTTATTTAAAATAGTTACTTAGTTTACTTACTGTACATATGTGATTACTCAATAATTCACTCATTAATTTATTTACTAAAATGCTTTACCTTTTTACTTATATACTTATATCACCTTCTTACATGCAGCAGTTAATAAGAAATAAAAATCCTAAGCTCTATTTCTAACAAAGTTTCATAAAAGTTTCTTGTCTAACATTTTCAGTAGCTGCTAATGACAGTTGTTGAAGTATTCATCCTGTCTGTCTGCCGCCAATGTTAATAAACCTGCCTTTCTCTCTCTTAATTTCCCAGACCGGTGATTCTGAGGGTTTGGAAACGCCCATGTCATTCTTGGCATAGACTCGGAACTTGTACTGCCTTCCAGCCATGATGTTGATGGCAGTAAATTTGTTGTTGAAGAGATGGTCAGCCACGACTTGCCACGTGCGCTTTACGGAGTCTCGCTTTGTGATCATGTAGTGGAGTCTGTCGTCTTTTTTCTCATCGGGAGAAGGAACCCAGGAGACGGTCACTGTTCCTGACACGATTTCGTCCAGCTCCATGGGGCCTGGAGGCTTGGGGTCATCTAGGCACAGGTAGGAGTCCAGTTTTAATGAATTGTAACTTGAAGTGCACTTGGACTGCTGCCGTTGCTGAGGCAATAGTCACGCAAAGTTAAGTTGAGCATTTTGGCTCTAACTGTTTTTTTTTGAGGGGCCTGAAATTGAAACCGATGTTAGAATGGTACTGAGTATCATTTGAGCCATCCCTAATTTCAATGAATGAAAGTTTGTTCAAGGTAAGACAGCAGATTAACCAGGTTTTACCCTGTGTACATTTTGCAACGTTGTCATGTCGCTTTTTAATTATTGCCCCCACTGCTTCAGAATCTAATGTCTGTCAAACAATGTCTGATGTTATTTGGTTCATAAGTTCAATACCTCAAAAGGTTCAAGTTCTTAGTCATCGACTATTCCTACTGAGCTCAGCTTCATTTCTGTAATGGTGCTGTCAGGTTGAAGCCCAGCATGTTCTTTGTCAATGTGTGGACTGTGGAAAACATAATATATGAACTAAGACAGGATCATGTTTTGAAACTCCCAACAATTCCCATCTGGTGGGAGTGTAACCCCACGTCAACATCTTCCTCTCTCTTTGTGGAACCCAATGAATATAAATACATTTCTTATCCTTAAAATAGACACAATTTAACTGTTTTGTGTCGAAGCATATTATATGATTTTTTTTTTCAAATATTTTTATTCTATATATCCATCTGTTTAGAATAAAGATATTACAGAACCTACCTGTGAATCTCATCTCCACACTGGAGGTTTCCTGGCCCACTAGGTTTTTCACAATGATGGTGTAGATCCCTGTGTCGTGACGTTCTGATGAAGGGATCATTAATTGTGAGGACGTGTCTGTGTTGCTGACTGTCACATACTTAGGTAAAGGCATGCTATCCTTCATCCATGTGATTGTTGGTACAGGAGAGGCCTATACAAAAACACAAATACACATCTGTGTCATGATAAAGATTCATATGGCATCATTGTTCTGCTTGTTCTTATTCAAGACCTTGAAGTTAAAGGTGAGTCGAGCAGCACTTCCAGCTTTCATCACCATAAAGTTGTTGATGTTTTTGTCGGTGAATTCTGGTCTCACTGTAAAAAAAATAAAAAAAGAGGAAAATGAAGAAAAAGCCAATTTAAAGAAATAAAAAATTAATAATTTCAAATACTTGCCTGGAGGAGGCATTGCAATTATATAGTTGTCCAACTCTTGAGGCTCACTGTCTCCGCCCTCATTGGTGGCTACAACTCTTACCCAGTACATAGCCATAGACTTCAGACCCATGATAGTATAAGAGCACATGATGATTGGGTTGGAGTTACAGCGCCCCCATTCAGGGTTTTCTGCAGGTCTGAGTTCAATGAAGTATCCTTTTGCCTCATCTTGGACTCCTTCTTCTTCGGTGGGTTTGGTCCAGCCAAGTGATAAGGTGGTGTAGGTGGAGTCTGTTACCCTCAGATCAATGACTTTACCGGGAGGCTCTGAACAGTTACAGAAAGGTTGTGTTTAAGGAACTCGTCCAAGAATCGAAAAGAACAAATCTAAATTTGTCTGGATATTTACTCTTTGGGTCTCTGGCGAATACAAACTCAGAGGGTGGACTGGGTTCTCCAACACCAGAGATGTTGATGGCTGATACTCGAAACTCATACTCAATGCCTTCAACCACATCTTTGACTGCATACTTTTTATCTGTTGGCAAGTACAAGGCAGACTGTGAAGAACGAAATACTGAACATGTATTTATACAGTAGGCAGTACTTGACAGAATTATTGCACTACACCTTTGACGGGCTCCTCAGGCGGGTTGATGAGGCTCCACAAATTACTGCCATTTTTACGTTTCTCCACATTATATCCTAGAAGGTTGGTTCCTCCGGTGTTAGTGGGTGCAGTCCAGGCCAGGTTGATGCAATCTTTGAAAGCGCTGACGATTTTAGGTGTTGATGGAGGTCCAGGGTAAGCTACAGAGAGGACAATGGGAGAAAATTGAAGTAATTTAAATACAATAAAATTGGACAAAAATAGAATTTTGTTTGAAGACGAAAAGAAATATTTTTTTTCCGACCTAACCTCAGTTTGACTTATATGTTAGGAATATGACGTTAGTCATATCTCTAAAGTCCAAATTCAGTCAAATTAGAATTCTGACTTCAGTCACACATTTGACTTTATTTTCTTCTGGAGCTGAACCTGTGACCCCTACCCTTTGTCCCTGCCTGGATGTCATCTGTCTCCATCATTCCACTGGTTCCTTGTTCGGTTTCAGCCCAGATGTGGTAGCAGTATTTTCTACCATGGTCCACATCTGTGTCCCTGTATTTAGGCTCTGGGCCGATCTTGCCCAGCTTCTTCCAGCTGTTTCTGCCAATCTGCTGACGTTCCAGGATGAAGTCCGTGATCGGAGAACCTCCATTGTCTTTGGGGAGCCTCCATTTGAACTCAATGCAGGTTGATGAACTTTCAATGATGTCCACAGGGCCCAGGGGTGCTGTTGGTTTATCTATTGGGTAGAAGAGAACTGCTCATGTCAATGCCGTGTATTTTGTCTAGGATAATCAAAATGTGAGGCATGCCACCACTGGAGGTGCCAGAGCCACTTAGAAGGTGCTATAAAAGGAAAGAGAAGAGCAAGTGCCTTAAAACATCTGATATTTTCAATTCAAATGTGAACAATTGGATGGTTTTCTGGCGTGTAACTGTAAATAATAATTATTTACAGTAAAGACGAATAAGAACAGAATATTTTTGTTAATTTTTCCAATTTGAACATTGATATAACAACAGTTATTTTGAAATCCCCGGCTTGGACACATCATGACATGCAGCCATAAAAATGAAGGCCACAAACCTAGAACAACCATTTGAGTGATGGCCTCTGCTGTTCCGCATTCATTTTTCACTTTAACCTTGATCTCCCCCGAAATTCTGCGTTGGCACTTGGTAAGCAGCAGGCGACTGTGTGTGGAGGATCTTTCAATCTTGATGTGTGTGTCCTCCAGCAGCTCTTCTCCATCGTTGTACCACTGGATCTTCATTGGTTCCCGGCCAACAAATGACACCTTAAAGGCAGCCTCTTTCCCAGTTTTGATAACCACAGGTTTAACAAACGCGGCTAAGTCATCGGCATCTATTCTTGGAGGATCTGAAGAACAAAGAAACACACAAATTTTCCTCCTCTTTTCAAAGTGATTGTCCTTATTGTTGGCTTGAATGCAGCCATTCATGCTCTTATTTCTGTACCTTCTACATTCAGCACGGCCTCTGTTTTGCGACCGTCAGCTTCACATTTGTACTTTCCCGCGTCGTCTTCTGTGCAGTTTTTGATGATAAGTTTGCGATAAGTTCCGTCTTTGACAATACAGATGTTCTCTGCAGCCGCTATCTGACTTCCACACAGAATATGTGTCTTAATCTATCAGAAGAACAACTCTCCACATCATTAAATGCTACATTTTCTTCACCTCTTTTCCATCCTTGTACCAGACGCCGTCACACTCCTCACTGCTCAGTCTGCAGACCAACTCTGCATCTGTGCCAATGATGGCTGACACATCTGAAAGTCCACTGGTGAAGAATACTCCAGGGTCTAGAGAGGAAACACAGTCATGTTCAACTTAAATACACTATATATATATATATATGTATATATATATATATATAAAGATGTGTTCTCATGCATCTCACCAATAACTGTTTCAGGGACAAGAGGCCCCGCCCTCACTCTCTTTTTTTTATCTTCAACAGGTGCCTCTTCTTCAGTATCAGCAACTTTAGCTGCAGCCTCCACCTCATTGTCTTGTTTTGGGTCTTGTCCTTTAACTTCTTCTTTCTCCATTGAACCTTCTCCGTCTTTGAGATTGTCTACAACTACACCATTTTCTTCTTCTTCTTCTTCTTCTTCTTCCTCTTCTTCAACATCTTCGTCTTCTACCTCTTCTTCTTCCACCTCCTTTTCTTCACCCTCTGCAGCGACCGCCTCTGCACCTTCTCCACCTTCTGCCTTGGCCTTGGCCTTTGCCTTTTCTTTGACCTTTTCACCATCTTTCTCCTTAGTCTTTGCCTTGCCTTTAGCCTTGGCTTTTGTCTTGGCTTTTGGTTTCGCTTTAGCTTCACCCTCTGGTTTAACTTTGGCCTCAGCCTCCTCCTTTGCTGCTGCAGCAGCTTCTGCTGCAAGTTTTGCAGCCAACTCATTCCTCTCTTTCTTTATCTTTTCATTTTGTTCCTGAGCGATCTTCAGCAAATCAGGATTACCACCTCCGGCACGAGTGGTTTTCCGAGGTTTCTTCTTTCCTTGCATGCTGGGGTCATTGTCAGCTGGGAAAACAATATATGTAGAACATGATTGTATTTCTTAGAGAACATGTTATTGTCGTACTAAGTACCTCCTACTTTACTTTTTTTCTGTATCAGTACCTTCTACTATAAGCCAGGCACTGCTGGATGCCATTCCAGCTATGGCTGCATAGATTCCTTTGTCCAATGGCAGACAGTCCTTTACCACCAGGGTATGAACCAACATGTCATCTGACACAAGGATGTCGTATTTTTCTCCCTGCTCTAGTGAGACATTTTTCCCCTTCCAAGTGATCTTTTTTATAGGCTGTGAGACGACGCACTCAAACACGGCATCCTCTCGTTCTTCTGCCTTGACGTCTTGTAGCTTTACCAAGAATTCCACAGGAGGAACTAAACAAAACACAGAAAAACGCCTTTTAAAATTTTGTATTCACCACCACAGCTAAAACAGTATGCATGCAGAACCTCACGTTTCAAGTCAGTGGAGAAGATGTTCACTCCATCAACCATCACTTGGTATAATCCAGCATCCCCCGGGTCGATACCATTGATGCTAAACACAAACTTTTTCCCGACTTGCTTAAGGCCATGTTTTACCTCGGCATCGGCATCAAAAGGAATCATCACTCCGTCCTGTTCAAACAGATGTTGTCAACAGGGTGACTGGAATATTCATGAGACACAATAACATCTGCATGCATTGTGCAGCCATTTACCTTATATAAAAATATTTTACTGGTAGGATCTTTGAGAGACATTTCAAGTTCAAACTCTGCTCCACCTGAAGCATTCAGCTCAATGGGCTTCAAGTTGGACAGTTTTTCCACCACCTGCAGTCATTTGAATTGAAAAAATATGTAAATATTTGGCGTTTATCTTCAAAAATTGTTGCCTTTTGTCTGAATTCAAATGCACCTCAAACGTTCTGTACCTTTTCCTGCTCCTGTTCCCTCTCAATCTTCTTTTCTTTCAATTTCTTCAACATCCAGCGGAAGTCTGTGACTCCATAAAGTGTACATATGCTCTCATAGTCTTTTTTGTCTGCACTCATCAGCAAATCCCAAAACTTGTCGTCAATTTCCAATTTTGTCTCTTTTGACTCGGTGTCCGCACTTTGACATGCAAAGGAAACTGATTATTTTCCGACCAACAAATGACAATCACACAAAAGTTGACAGAAACCACTTACATATTTTTTAATGCTTTTTTGAAATCTTCTGGAATCTCTCTGATCGCTGCAACACAGGGAACAGTGATCTATTTAATAAGACACTTGATTATCAGTGAAATGTTATGCATGAACTCTGTTGATACCTGTTCTTGACTGCTGCAGAGCTTGGTTCTTCTTAAAGCCGACTGAAATAAAAATGTCGATCTTAAGCTTTTGTTTAGTTTTACATATGCAGTGTGCAGTACTCTGAGTACTAATAAGTTACTTACCTTCAATTACATTAAGGACAGCAGTTACTGTGGCTTTCCCGTATTCATTCTCCGCATAGCACTTGTATGTGTCGGCCTGATCCACAGATACATCTGGAATCTTTTGGTAAATGCGACATCATTATGAATATCAACATCCATATCAATACCGCATTACATTTACCGATACCTTAACCATATACACCTGATATATAACATTCAATGCAACATCATTATCATCATCACCTCCAACATCACCACTTTTTGTTATTGTTATGATGTAATGATGACCAAAATGAGGTTCAAATTTTGACTGGCGAGTCAGAATTGGTTTATTATTATTTTTATTATTATTGTTGTTGTTGTTGCTGAAAGGCTGGCTAGTTTATTGCGACAACTCACCTGCAGCTGGTGTTCACCGGAACTTTTGTCATAGAGAACTTTGAACTTTTCGTCAATTTCTCCAGCATTTCTCAGCCAGGTGACTTTTGGCTCTGGTCTGCCAACAAGGACGGCTCTGAAAATTGCCAGTTTACCTAAGGACAGGGCAACAAAACAGGCTACATTAGCAACGAAACAATCAGAGCTGGATGGACTTGAGAAAAATACGGTGTATACCTTCCTGGATTGTCAGAGCGATGGGTTTGCGGGTGAAGTCTGGAGTGCTGGAGCCTTGAGGGATCTCCTCCACATACTGGGTGATCATGACTCCGGGCACACGTGACCTCCTTTTTATTCTCACTGAGAATTTTCCCATGACAGATTATTAGTGTTTGTTATTGGCTAAAATACACAAATGTAGAAAGTGTTCAAACCTGGTCTTTCTACTTACCCTGCCCTGGAGCTGTAGGCTCCTCCTCCTTAGCTCTGCGTATCTTAAACATCTTGAACACAACTCCTCTGTCTATGCAGAACTAAACACCACCAAAAGACAGATTACATTAGGACTGGACGTCCTGCAGCAATAATAAATGATTTTACTGTGATCTGGAGCTGTTTGACGATTGACAGTTATTAACAGATATATAAACCGGATTCTGTCTGTGAGTCTGTGAGTGAAGGTGTTTTTTTCTTTGCAGATGTTAAAAGACGTGAATGTAGGGATTTAGACAGTGTTGTTGTGAATGGTGTTAATAACTATCACTGTGTGATGAAAGGGAGAGAGAGAGGGAGAGCAGAAATAGAATGTGACATGATTTATTTATTCCATGTGTCAGACATGTTATTATGGGCAGCTACATTTTAGAAATCTGAGAAATACATTATTTTAGGAAAGAGGTTGCAGGCTGTGTGACATAGTAATTCTATCTTCACTATCTGAGTTACTATTCATGAGATCCCACATAGTTGACATTCCTAGACTGGCGCTCACGATCAAAGATCATACTTTTTTTTTTTTTTGTTGCTATTTTGAAATCTTTATTTGAACCTTATTGAAACATAATATGTTAATATTAAAGCTGATAAAAGGATTTTTTAAATAACATACTGTATCTGATTCGATCATTCAAACTTCAGCTTGAATATAAAAACGATTTGAAATTAAATATAAAAATGAATAACAAAAAAAAAAGATTGTAACTAGCAGTTGAGGTAATAATAATAATACTGATATTTGAGATGCAAATTATTTTTTGTTCATGCTTTGGTCTATGGTGGCCTTATATTAACATTTCATTTCAAGTTAAAATATCCTGTTTCTTATAAATATTTGACAATAAATATATTTGATAAATATCTTCGCTCAATCTCTGTATTTTAACTTCATCACATTAATAATAAATTAATGAATCACATTATTTGTTTTTATTATTCAGATTTTCATCTTTTAATTACACACTTACTGCCAGCTCACTCACTCATCACTCCGCCTATTAAAATGTTCCTTTCATATCCTTTTATATCCATAGAAACAATGTCATCATTTAAAAACTAATTAAAATTTAAAGCTATTATTATTTAATGAATAATGAAGTTGATGACTTCAATATAAAAGTAATTTGAAGTTAAAAAGCCTAAAAAAAGCTGTAACATTTCCATAAACTGTTCCTCAGGACCAGAGAAAATATGGCTTGAAACACTCGGTACATGAACATGTGAAAACTGTTTCTAGTATAAGCATAAAGTATACTTTATACAATACTTCTAGTATAAGTATTCTATAAAGTATTCTGTAAATTATATATTTTTGTTAGAGAACAATATTGCCATTATTATATTTTATATAATATAGACAATATATCATTATTATACGTTCATAAATGTCCAATCATCTTGATTTTAATTATATTGTTTTATAATAGGAGCGTAGCAAAAGCTGCTTGACAATGTTCTTTTAAGTAATGACTCATGTATTTCAGATATTTCCAAGCAATAAATGGAAATGTATAGAATTATTAGTTTAATAACATTTGTATAGAATACTTTATGCTGTAAACGTTATTATAAAAGACACACAATAACAGGTCGTTATTAGATCCTACCGACAGTTAATTAACATGCAACCTGCTGCTAATTGCATATTCATAGCATATGTTTACGTGCTGTGTCCTGTGTCATTGATCATAATGAATTTTGAACGACTAATTTCATGTACTTACTGAGTAACTAAGTCTCCTCTCAGTTGTCTGTTGCCAGCCAGCTTCTTGATGATTCTTGAATGTGGTCTCTGCCTTTTGAGAGGCAATAAAGCCTTTCGCCCACTCACAGCAGCTTAACCTACTTTTTCATTGGGGCTCCTGGGGATAGATTTACTGACATGCACTTTGGCCCTAAAATGCCATAGGTTTGAAACGGGGACACCAGTGGTTATGCAGCTCTGAAGGTTTCTGATCCCACCTCTTTCCCAAGTGGAATTCAAGCTTTGGTGCTGCAGCAGGGTGCTTTTGGCATCACTAAACAAAAAGGGGAAGTGTCACGGGATGTGACCAAAATGATTCGAAGCTCGAAGCTGCAGCATCATTAACCTAATTACACAGGGAGGCTGTGTGGTTTACTTCCAGCATCTGAAAAGAGGTGAGCATCAGGACGATTTTTTTAAATTGAATTAAAGTCACATGACAGCTGAAAGGTTTACTATAATAAAATGTAAATTAATAATCTGTGAATAAAATGTGACTCAAATGCATATACATACACACACATATATATATATGTATGTATATTTATATTTATGTTTACTAATCTGTAAGTGAGCATATGTCTTGTAGTGTTGTAAGGTGTACTTATACTTGACACTGAGAGGTGTCATCCCACCCTGCTCTGACATGTTTGTTACCCCAGGGTGCAACTGTTGACCCATGTCGTCTTCAGTGACGCTAAACTTGGACCGATGTCTGACCCAACAAAAATGCCCAGAGAGGTAATACAAGAAGTTTGAACATAAATTACACACATAAACCAAAATGGAGGAGAACAAGTGTAATGAGACCTGAGGGACTTCTGTAGATGTGTGTATTAAATGTTAAGTATTTGAACAAATAGTGAAATATTTTCTTTGAAAAATAGTTTTATCATTAATCAAAATAATTATTAATAATTGAGTCCTAATTCCTACATACATATTTTTTATTATTTAAATGTATTTGTGTGATCAAAAGGTGATTAACATGGAAGACAACAGACCAGAGAAATGTAATTCATTTATTTAAAATGGCACACATTGTGTGATAAAATATAGCACTTTGATTTCAATAATGTTTCTTTAATTTTGGTGAAAGGGAAGTTCCACAATCAGGGAAAATTATAAATGCACTGCCGTCAGGGTCCACATGAAAAGATCAGTGACTTAAAGTATGTGGGCGGAGCCACAATAGCTCCAGTAAGTCACTACTACTACCACTGTCAATACATAATTCAATATATCATTTATTTTTATGTTCTATTGAAACAAGTGTATTTCTTTCCATCATGCTGAATTTTACTGATTAAATAAAACACATATTCAACTTTTTTGCACAGTGGAAATAAGTTGCTGTTTGTTAACCTACTGTGTTGCACAAATCAAAGTCAGTGTTTAGCATTGAAGTCGTTTCTTCTCCAGTTTGGTGATTTATTCTGAAAAGATGACAGAGATGGTAATTAGTGTCACATGACAAATGATATGTCACAATTATCCACAGTGGAGTACTTGTCTGTACATAGTACATGTACCTCTGACTGTCAGTTTAGTAGAACACTCTGCTCTCCCCATGGAGTTCTCCGCCACCACCTTATACTCCCCGGTGTCCTTGGAGCCGACCCTGAGTATGAGCATGGAGCACACTCCGTAGGTGTTGGAGATGTAATAATTGGTGTTGGTATTCAGACTGATATTGTTGCGCAGCCATGTCACGTGAGGCGTGGGGTCTCCTTTTACAGCGCAGCTCATGTAGCACTCGTAGCCCTCAGGAGCCGTGTGCAGTTTGAGTGGCACCAGGAACTTTGGAGGACACTGCAGGTCACAGCTCTTGGCTTCCGCCACCTTGACAGTGAACTTTTCTAAAACACCCACAGAATAAAATTACATCTAATGTATTTATGGACTCATTGGATATTAGCAATATATCTGTATTAAATTGGCTGTTGCAGTTCAGATTTGTCACGTGCACGGCGTAAAATGTACTTGTGTTGTGGTTTTATTTTACAAGCTCCAGCTGTTTGTTTTATTAACAAGACCTTTGTTACAATGACTGAGACTGAGGCAGATTAAAGAAACATGCTTTTTTCCTTCTTTTTTTCTATTTTTCAAAAACACTTTCCATAAAGTTTTTTTTTCTAAGTAAAAAAATGTGAGAAGTAGTGGAGCCTTGGTGCAACACACAATTGCACAACAAGACATTCAAATGATTCTATGGGCTCACCAAATATTCATAATATTCATTCATTTTCTAAAATGATTCAGATTCAGATTTGTTGGTTTGATAATGTATGCCCGATAATTCCACTGTCCATCGTCCATTATCTTTGCTGTTACACAATCGATACACATTGTTATTTACACACCTTGTGGAAAGGTTTTATTTCACTGACACACCACAATCTTAAAATACGATCTGTGGAAGCATAAGGATTAATCATGATTAATCAATTAATCAAAATAAACCAGTGTCTAATTTCCCATGTGCCACTTGGGATAGGGCCGCTGTATCCTTCACACAGACGAATAACTCATGAAACGAAACTGAAGTTTAGGAACAATAACATTTTTAAAAAAGTAATTTGCAGATGGCAGAATTTAGAGAACAAAACTTCTCTTTCTCATCATCGAAGTCCCTTTACCCTGCCCTCATCTTCAGTACCTACCTTTTTTGGCAGTAATCAGCCATTTTGGTGATTCCACTGGTTTGGAGCAGCCCATGTCGTTCTTGGCATAGACCCTGAACTTGTATTCACGACCTGGCATGATGTTGCAGACAGTGAACCGGTTGTTGAAAATGCGATCTCCAATGGTGTGCCATGCTCTTTTGACCGAGTCCCGTTTGGTCACCATGTAGTGGAGCCTGTCATCACGCTTCTCATCTGGAGATGGTGCCCATGAAAGGGTCACTGTTCCGGGCACATTTTCGTCAAGGTCCAGTGAACCTGGTGGCTTGGGCTCATCTAGAATTAAAAAAAAATGAAACCATGTTTTTAGCTTTGGATTTTCTAGATAAATGGTTAGGTAAATGTACTTGGTCTTCCAAACAGACTTCACCTGTGACCCTTATTTCAACACTGAATGTATCCTGACCCACAATGTTCTTTACGATGATTGTGTAGATGCCTGTGTCTGTGCGCTCAGCAGAAGCAAGCAGAAGCTGGGAAGTGCCCTCTGCGTTACTGATGGTCACCTTTTTAGACACAGGTGATCCGTCTTTCAGCCAGATGACTTCAGGCCAGGGGGAGGCCTGAGAGGAAAGTTCCACAAATCAAAGTCAGCCCAATGTAAACTGTGGACTTTGGCCAAAGAATTCTTACAAATTTGCTGACTTACCTCAAAGTTAATGTTGAAGCGTGCAGAGTGTCCTGCTCTCACCACCATGAAACTCTTGATTTTTGCATCTGTAAATCTGGGCCTCACTGAGGAGAAATTAATAGAATAGAATGTTTGTTTTTTGTTTTTTTTGTTGCCTGACAAAAAAACCCATAATGATTACAGTAGCCTTTTTTGTGACTATTTCAGTTTTTGCTGTTTTGTTGTTGTTGTTGTTGTTGTTGTTTATCTTCAACTGTCAGTGTGATAACCACACTGACAGTAATTATTCTGCTTCTTCAGCTGCTGCCTGTAGGGGGCAGCATATTACCTGCTTCTATCTCATTCTAGAACCGCTATCATCATGTCCTGTCCACAGATGGACTCTGGGGCTCTCCACCGTTGGCAGCTCCATCTTTAGTCCATTATATCTGCTGTCTCTTCAGCCTCAGCTTCCCCTCAGATCTGCTCTTTTCTGATCCTGTCTGTCTTTTTTCATTACTCTAATAATTTCAGCATCTTGATTTCAGAAATCTCTAGTTCAGCCTCTTTTTCACTTGAATCTTTCCAAACCTGGAGTATAATAATCCAATTATGGATATTTATAAGCAAAGTAGGACAATGGCCATGATTAATCATTGATAAGAAAAATAAATCAACATTTCTAAACATGACAACTTTGTGTCTCTGTACTGCAGGTGTTTTACACTAGCTGTTATTATCAACAAAGCCAATATATTGGAAATATTGAATATATAAACGTGTATTTTTTCTCTGTTCCTTTTTAATAGATAGTTCGTGTCCTTCATTTCAGAAGTTTTACCAGTTAATTAGAACTTGATACATCAATTTGAAGTTGATTTATTAATACTGATAACCCGAATGCAACATTCACTTCATCGTTCACATATTGATACTTAGCATATGCATACAGTGGATGAATACTCTAAATAATATTATACCATGTATGTATATTTCTTCATATTATTATTATTATTTTTATTACAGCTCTTATATATGTGCCACGCTCATCATTCATAGTAAAAAATATCTCCAAACTACTGTACAGTGAATCAGTTCATGTACTACACCGATGAAAACCGGCCTTTAATTGTCAGTTGTTTCAGCAGCTAAACTATACTTTTGATATTAGTATTCACTGGTGATAATTGGTTGAAATAATAATTCTTACCAGGGGGCGGCATCACCAGGATGTAATTATCGAGCTCCTGAGGCGGCCCGTCTCCTCCATCATTAGTAGCCAGCACTCTCACCCAGTACATGCCCAGTGACTTCAGGCCCTTCACTGTGTAGCAGTTCATGGTGATTGCATTGTTATTGCAGCGATCCCACACTGTGTTTTCTGCAGGTCTGACTTCCACGAAATATCCCTTGGTTTCATCTTCAACCCCGTAAATCACCTTGGGTTTGTTCCAGGAAAGGGAGGTGGAATCTGTCACTTTCAAATCCAGGACTTTTCCTGGAGGCTCTGCATCACACAATTCAAAGTGAGTTGTGAGATTTGTGGTAGGCTCTGCTTTAAGGATAGTTAGATTTTTTTCCACCTACTCTTAGGGTCCCTGGCGTAGACATGTTCAGATGGAGTACTGGGTTCTCCAGCTCCGGAGTTGTTGATGGCTGACACACGGAATTCATAAACCATCCCGTCAATCACGTCTTTAACGGCAAATGTCTTAGCTGTGTGTAGAAAATGTGCAGGAATACATTTCATCACATGATGTTTATGTCAAACATGGAGGACAGAAGTCCATCAAATCACACTGAAAAAAGTGTTTAAAGAGAATAGGAACCTCTGATCATCTCATTGGGTGGATTGACTTGACTCCACAAGTTGCTGCCCTTCTTGCGTTTCTCAAGGTTGTATCCCAGAATTTCAGTTCCTCCAGTGTCAGAAGGGGGGAGCCAGGAGACGGTGATGCACTCCTTGGATGCACTGACAATCTTTGGTGCTGATGGAGGACCAGGGTAGGCTGTAGAAAATAAAAATAATGTATTTGTATTTGTAATTTTCCGTTGGACCAAAAATAATCACGAAGTTTGAAAAATGCACTCTCTCATTCATCTGAACAGGCTTGCCTCTGGCCCTTGCCCCTTATCTTTGCAAATGGCAAACAGGCGAGTCAGTCTTATTGGATGTTAGAACTCAACTTTTTTTTTTACTTTCGCTGCAAACCAACTTTTTATCTCCTGTTATTTTTATACGTATACATTGTGAAGCCAGTTTTACTTCACTTACACTCAACTAGACTGAAAAACCTTTTAAACCCTAAAATTCATGCTTGTGATGGCCAACCTTTCCAACTTTGTGCCTTTTTTTGTCCTCCTACTGCTAAATACACCTTTGAAAACCCTAGCAGTGCAATTGTACTAATACAATATCAGTGTTTTTATAAGAATCACACTCGTTCAAAGCTCAGCTCAGTTAAGCTAACTAACCATCACCCTGGCCCTGATTCTTCTTCTCAGAGGTTTGGCTGTGGATCAGATTGATTTTTATCTGAAAATATTCTTTGTCACTTAAGACAGAAAAGGTAGAAATATCCAAATGGTGCAGCATCCCTGTGGCCAGTGCTTTTGGTGCGGAAATACTTGAGTATATTGAAAGTTTCTTTTTTATGAATAAAATAAACTAGGTAGGATTAGTGATTGGTCAAGACAATTTTGCAAAAATGTCAGTGTAATAAATTAACAGCAAAGAGTGCACCTTTAGTCCCAGCTTGTATATCCTCGGTCTCCATCATTTCACTGGTGCCCATCTCGGTCTCCACTCTGATGCGATAACAGTACCTTTTGCCGTGGTCTACGTCGCTGTCTTTATATTTCGTCACCGGACCAATCGGGCCAACCTTCTTCCAGGTGTTGCGGCCGATCTGCTGTCGTTCAAGCAAATAATTATCAATCTTGCAGCCACCACTGTCCTTCGGTGGTCTCCACTTGAATTCCACTGTACTAGAGGAGGCTTCAACGATCTCCAGAGGTCCCAGAGGAGGAGTAGGTTTATCTGTCAGAAAATAAAATTGAATAGTGTTGATCCTGCCCTGATGCATTAGGAATGGCAATAGTTGCAGCTAGTTCCTCTTTGGCATACCCAGAACAATGAGCTGGCTGAAGGCCTCCACAGTTCCAAAGTCGTTTTTGAATTTTATCTTGACTTCACCGCTGTCTTTGCGCTGCAGCTTGAACAGAAGCAGACGACTGCACCCCTCTGTGTTCTCTATCTTGATATTTGAGTCCTCTGAAAGCTCTTCACCCTCAAGGTACCACTGAACTTTAATGGGTTCTCGTCCCGTGTAATGTAATTTGAAGGTAGCTTTATGTCCTTTCTTCACAGTTATGGGAGTTTTAAAGCCTGCCACTTCCTCGGCGTCACATCTGGGTGGATCTAAAATGACACCACAGAGATTTAAGAGAGTCGTCCATGGCTCCTACAAATTAAAAAAAGAGCTGCAGACAACTATGTTAGTAATTAATAAATAGTCATTTGATCCATGAGAATTGTGGAAAACCTCAGCGGAGTGGTAATGTTCCTGAACGTTTCACTTTTGAGAACAAACTTATTCATATTTGAAAAAAAAAAAACAACAACAACAAGTTTAGGAATGTTGATTTATCTAAATTAGTTATCAGTACTCATTATTCATTTTTTAATGAATTTATAACAACTCACATCAAAGAGATCGAGCACATATTCTTTTGTTTGATTACCTTCAACAATGACCATGG